TTACATGTACTAATAGACTCATCCATCCTTCAGGACGTATTAAGTGGACTTTCCAGTACGATTAGGCCTAACAGTTACGACCTAGACGTCAGAAAATAAACGATCCATAAAATTGCAATTGGCCAGTCGTTGATGACAGTTAATTGTGTAGGTTTTTCTGTTAACGCTAATAATTCAGGCATGTTATCTTACGATAAAAAAACCTACACAGGCTAGTAGTCTCATCGTTGGTCTTCAGTCAATCAGCTGAATTCGTCGATAGTTCGATCTTGTGAGCAGTGATGACTCAGGCACAAGGTGTCATCTGTGGATAACCACCATTTTCCCTTCACCGATGAAAAATCCTTTCATTGAGGCGTAAAATCCTGCTCCGTAACACTCGTTTACTTTGTTCTTGTGTGTATTAAAGATTGTGAATTTATTTAATTTTCCAGATGATCCTTTATCTTGGCAACAAATAAATTGTTTACCCCTATCATGTCGCGTACATGGTCGCTGCCCACCTCAATCAAAGTCTGAATGTGAAGTGATTATGATGGTAGGACTACCGGGAGCAGGAAAAACGTATTTTGCTGAGCAACAGAAAACAGAGCATCGTGAAAAGCAATATAATATACTAGGAACCAACCTTATTTTAGATAAAATGAAAGTAAGTCCTAACCAAGTAAACATGTGGATTTATCCACTTGTGTATACAAAACTAATACAATTTTTTATTTTAGGTAATGGGCATTGCACGACAACGTAATTATCACGGGAGATGGGATGTTTTGATTGACAAATCAACGAAGTGTTTAAATACACTTATCAGTATGGCGTGTATGCGCCGTCGTAATTACATTTTGGATCAGGTCAGTTATTTCTTATAAACACTAATGTACTAGTATCAGTAGGTTTTCTAGAGTTATAGTATTCCGAAGGGATTTCAATACGTTAAATTAGTAGACGAGTCGTAGGGGTTAATCGTAAACAATTTTAGTTTTCTGTAATGTATTTTAAGGTATTAAATTCCCTACCATTATGTATTACAAGTTTGTTTTTATTGTTAATTATCAGTTTGTGTTTATGAACTAAATATTTCATTTGTTAAAATGTATTCAGTGGTCTCCGTTCTAAGACACCCCATATGAGCACTGATCGAACAGTTGTTCAGATTAAATGTACCGATGTTCTTGATCAGTTTGCTCTAATGATGGTTTTCTTGGATTGGTTCTGCTGCAATAGACTGATTTGGCGAAGTACATGTTAATGAACATGTATAATTTTGTCCGAATTTACATGCAAGGTACCTTACTTGCTTTGCATTTTTGGTATGTACCTTGCAACTGGATTTGGTCCATCGTACAAATGCGCACAATTATCTATTCCTGGTGGTGGCACTGATATAACTTCGTTTTTTCTCTCATTCGCTCGGTTCCATCTCCTGAACCTAATCACAGACAAATGTGTACCCGTCAGCACAGCGCCGTAAAATGCGTCCATTTGAAGGTTTCAAGCGAAAGGCCATTGTTATCGTTCCTACTGACGAAGAATTCAGGCGGCGAATTGCCCAACGGGAAAAAGAGGAGGGCAAAGAAGTGCCTGAAACTGCAGTTCTCGAGATGAAAGGTAGTTTTCTTTGTTGGAAATGGTGGTATAAAGTCCTGCAAGTTTTCCTTGGATTTACTTTTAATGAATCTGCGTTCTATTTTATACTTGGGTCTACTAATTGGTAAATCCTATTGTACTATTTTGATGAATACTTAAGTGCTTACAAATTTGTTTGCATTCATTTAGTATTTGTTGGAACAATAATCGTTCTGTAATTGGTAGTATGTAAATATGTATCTATTTAGAAAGGAATACAGTTCTTTCGATAGTTAATCTTCGAAGTTTCCATCATAGGAATGCAATTGTATGAACAGATACAATCTGGAATGCCTGGTAGTTTGAAGATAAGTCTCAGCTAGTTATTTGTTTTTGTATAACCTATAGTTACTCGCATCAAGAGATAACAGCTGCCTGGTCTTATGTTGTAGTTGACTAACTGACTGAGCTGCCATGAGTCCGTCATCTGACCTTGTGTTTTCGAATTCATAGCGTTCACTAAAAATGGCGGTCAGAGTCAAACTTGCTGATTTCTTTCTCTAGACTGCGAGTAATTATGGGTTTCTCAATTATTTTAAAATGTTTATTCATGTTGAGTATTTGTATTTGTTTCCCATCCAGGTTCTGACCAATCAAAACTAGCCATAGCTTAATGTACCGTAGGGTCGGTATTTTGTGTCCTTTTTAATGACAGTTGAAATCACAGTAAAATCTGATTTGACTGTATTCACCCACCCCTTTAAGTATATCAATAAAATGTGGAATCTTTTATTTCTGCAGTAAACGATAGCTAAATTTCCCTCAAATCTTTCTAACCATAAAAAGTCAATAGACTCATCACACTGCGACAGTTACAAAATGATCTTAACAAACTGTACGTACTGTTACCAGAAAACAAGCATTTGTTAATCGTTCACAGTATGCTACCCGGAAAAACAAAACATGGTTCTTTACTACTAAATCGTCAGGTTACATTTCGTCAATCATAAGTAAACCTAGCGACTGATTACTAATCAGTTGTTGGAATGTAAATAAATATGTTGTGCTGTTTTAGATTTTTTCCTTGTAAACGATTTCACGTTCCAGCTAAGTCAGTAGGAATAATTTTTCTCTTTCAGCAAATTTTGGAATTCCTAGACCTGTATCTGAAGATCCCTCTAGCGTTTTTGATGAGGTTATCTTTACCGAACTTGGTCTGGATGATGTAAAAGTCCTAGTTGCTCAATACAACCAAGAAGGACAGGCAAACAGGCAACCACCGGAAAAGCGCCAGCGTTGGGACGGTGGGAATCGTGACCGGGATGACTCACGCAATTCACGTTTCCGTGGACGGGATAGCCGGGATCGTGGTCGTGACATGCCACGTGGACGACGTGATGACTTCCGAAGCTCTCCTAATCGCCGGAACGATGATCGTGGTCGCCGTGACTACAGGTAAAAATTAATATGGTTAGGAGTAAACGTGATGTGATTTAGTGGTTCCAGGCTCCTCAACAATTTCTCTTTATCTTTCAGAGGTGGTTACAATGCCTCCCGTGATCGTAGCCGTGAGGGAGATCGCTTCGATCGAAGTAAGTGACAGCTGTTAATAATAGCTTAAGATTCATTACTTATTCAGTCTCTTCGTAACTCTTCATTTTCCTCTGCGTTTTTCCAGATAGCGACCGAGAATCGTTTGGTCGTCAGCCCAGTGGGAGGTATGGTGGTGGTCCTCCTAGTGGTCGTTTCGGGGCTCCGAATCGCGGACCGTTTCCAAGTGGGATGTCTGGCCCGGGTGGATTCGGAGGTTTCGACAGTTCTCGCGGTGGCATGATGAGGAGCGGTCCTGCAAGAGGCGGGTTCCCGGTACCGAATTTTGATTCACGTGCTGGACGGGGCGCCTATCGTGGTTCAATGGACCGGGGAAACCCAGGTTATGGTGGACCAAGTGACCCAATGTACAGTCGCTTTGATGGTAATGCAGGTGATGGAGAGCCAATTGGCAACGCCTATGATATGAACGAAGCCTCACTTTCTCAGCCACCATATGAAGGTACGTTATCCCTTTGATTATGCTGCAACACGTTTCTATTATTTCGCCCCCTATTTATGTCTCTTCATATATATTTCAGGTGGTCCAATGAGTGGAGGCTTTAGAGGAGGGTACGGAAGTGGTGGCCGCGGTGTCCAAATGCAGGGATCTCGTGGAGCCCCCGGTCGTGGTGGTGGAACGTCAATGGGACGTGGGGCAATCGCTCCAGGACGTGCAGCTAATGCTGACAGGGGTGTTGATCGTAGTCAACTGGGCCGCAACGCACCCGTTTCCGGTCGTGGTGGTACTCAACCTGATCGTGATATGATTGGCGGATTTTCCGATGATAGCCAACAGTATAATATATACGGTGGTGCGGAAGGTTATCAAAACCCAGCTGAGGAGCAATATCCAGGGCCACCAAATGATGATTATCGAAACAGACGTTTTGGCGGACCAGGTCCTTACAACGCAAATGCATTGCAAAAGCCTTCTGGTGGTAGTTATTCCGCCTACCAAAGAGGCAATCCCCCGTTCTCCGGTGGTCCAGCAGGATATCAAAATGCTCCTGGTGGTGGTTACAATCGAGGGAATCTCCCTTCATATGGGAATCCTAATTCTGCTTCTAGTTATCCTAACTCGTATACTGGTGATCAGGGTAATTTCACAAACCCTGGCTCAGATCCTTACAGTGGAGGTATGGCAACAGACAGATCCGGAAGAACTGGAATGCAACAAAATTCAGGTGGTCCTTTTGGAGGATCTCATGCCTATGGTACCAATGATCCTGATAAAACAACCATGTCACAGAATGAACATTCAAGTACAGATAGTTCTAGCTTGTATGCATCTGGTGCTGCTCGCTATTCCGACAATCACCCCCCTGCTACCAATGTTCCTCCCGTTCCTAGACAATCACGTTTTGATGCCAAACCAGAAACCAATGCTCCTTCCCAGACAAATGCATATAATAACTATGCTTTGGGATCCAGTTATCCAGGCGGATTTACTTCTAATGGTAATCAAAAAGCAACTATCCAACCATCTAATCCTCCTGGAGGTCCTAGAGCTGGGCGCAGTCGGTTCGATGTTGGACCCCCTGCTTCCCAACCGATCCCTCCAGCTGCCCCCGTACAGAGCACTACTTATAACCCACCATCACAATCAACTAATCGACCACAACCTCAAGTACAACAGACTGCAACATCGATCCAGGTAAATTATAAAATGACCCATTCTAAACCATTATTAAACCTGATATTATGATAAGACAAAACTTCCTTTTAACTATATTATGATGATTACCAATGCCGTTCGCTTACTAACGTTTGAAGAATGCTCATCCTTGCCCTGATAACGTTTTTCTTTCTATCTCGTTCATGAAGCTTGTTAATTTTTTTTTCAGCAAGCTCAACCACAAAGTTACGGGTATGGTTATTCTACTCAGAATACAAAACCTGATGGAAGTAGTAATGCAAACGCCCCTCCCGTTAGCCAATCTTATGGCGCTTACAACTATGGGTACGGATATGGTACATACGGGTCGCAAACTGCTCAACCATCCGCAACGGTTAGTCGATGTGCACCCACCACTGGTACCACCCAACAGTCACTATATGCCTCAGCTGTTGCTGACAAACCCCAACTAACTCAACAGACAGCCGCGCCAGCAGTTTCTTCCGCCGCCACCACTACTGCCACATCTGACCATTCGACACCGACTGCAGCAGCTTATGCCTCCTACTACTATGGTGCTCCTCAAGGCGCTACAGGAAGTACTCAAGGAGCTGGAAAGTATGATGCAGCGATGGTTGCTGCACAACAATTTAACGCGTGGCAACAACAGCAACAGCCTTCGGCTGTGTCCGGTAGCGTATCCAGCAGCGTTCCAAGTGCTCCAACTGCAACAGTAACACCACAAACACCAGCCGCAAATCCTTATGCAAGCTATTACCCTGGGTATTCTACTTATCCATCTGGATATGGTACTATCCCAGTTGGCGGAGCTCCTCCAGGTGGAGTCCCAACTGCTGCCGCTCCGCCAGCGCCAACAATGAGTCAATATTACACCGGTTATCGCTAAAATTGATTTATGAACTTAATTCCTCGTAATACATTTAGTTGAACTCTAATTTGTTTCACATTTCCATTGTGCTATCTTTTTGTCTCACTCGGCCTGTCCATTATGCACAAGTGTCACAAACCAATCATTAAAAAAGTTTTTTTTATTACATCACAATGGGTTTCGTACAAGTTCGTTTGGCTGCAAGTATATGGGCTAAAAATGTATGTCTGTTCTCCAAGCGAGTTCCCTCCATGTAGGAAGCTCGTGTAACGTCTGATCGGAAACACGGTTCCTTGGTTCTGCATCAATCTCGCCGTTCCACTTTTCACGATATCTTTCCCACCGCGCATCATCTGCACTTGCAGTAAGAAACCGACTTTCGTTTGAGAGTGTGGCTTCCAACCGACGTAAGTCGCACCAACATATGTAGTCCTGTCAAAACGATAAAGCTCAGTTTTAGAAATCAAGTAATTCTATTTCAGGTTAAGAGTTTAGCTAGCATGTACTTATACCTCCGTAAATTAAATCGCTTTTAGTTACTAATGAGCTTACCTGCATCCAAATGTGGTTGAGGCTTCTCTCAACGGAGAATCGGTTTCGTAGACGTACTTGCAGCAAATGTGTAATTAGATGTATGGCTTATAAAAATACATATATTTCCTAAAGTGGGTCTTACCGTCTTCAGATATACTGTCCCACGGGTCACTTGGATACATAAATTCGGCATTTTCTATCTGCTCGGTTATATCCTCTTCTTCATTAAACGGAAATGTCCCACTAAGACTACCAATTTCAGGCACGTTAGCTAGATTCGACATAATCTGATTTACCTTACATAAAGTATCACTCCAACAGACCACATATCGATCCCTCGGTTGTATCCACGGTTTTTCAGTACTTCAGGAGCTGAAATGAAAAGTGGAGTGTTATATCATCTACATAGTCCCGTGATCTTTTCTCACATCTTTATGATCGTCTTTTATTACGACTTAAGTTCTAAACTTACCTAGGTAGGCTGGTGTGCCAACCAGCGATCGTCTGAAAGACTTGTCGCCTATAATCCTTGCAAATCCGAAGTCGCACAGCTTGATCTGGGGGAACTGTCGGGCTACACTCTGTAAATAAAAAAATGGGGTGGGAGTTAAGTTTCGAGGAGAGCGATTTCCTGCTCTTTTGACACTAGGTGATATTCGGTTGCGCAAGAACACGATGGCGGTCTTGTTTCTGTGGAGTGAAACGAAGTGGCATTTGTGCTGCATTGGATGACATTTGAGTGGCCGTATTAATCACGGTCGGTGTAATCAACTGCTCACCACTGTGACGTATGTTTTACTTATGCTGCCATTTTTGAATGGCATAAGTGTTATCCGAGGATCCTAACACATCTTACCTGAGAAACTTCCGGCAGTCCCATATTATTCACATCTGTGTTGGGTGGTATAGCCAGTAGGACATTTTCTGGCTTGAGATCACAGTGTACTATGCTTCGTAGGTGGAGATATCGCAAAGCAACTAGTATTTGCGTCACCAGGTACTTCGTAACTCTTTCTGTCAGTCGACCTTGTGGCGATCCAAGGATCATTTCCAGCATGTCACCTGCTAGTTTTTCCATTACCACAAATACCTGAAGAATAAAACGTCCAAACACGCCCTGTTAGTGAACTGATTACGATAAGTTAAACAAATTATATTTTCTGACGCTTCGTGACCTCGAGTAAGTCACTTAAGAGAATAAATGAGTACATTAAGGAACCAAAGCCGGTTTATCAGCTCACTCCAGTTAGATGACCACGAGTTACATTGCCGCGTGGTCGCTCAAACTAATAGGTAGAAGGGGTTAAGGTTTGCGTCACAAAGCAGATTCAAGACCAACAACCATACTTAAAACAATGTCTAATTATTTGTAGAATCTCTAATGTCTCATCGATTATAAGTATCAAACAAACGCATTCTGTCTTGACTGCCTGCTAAATTTATCTGTTCAGCCATGTGTAAGTTTTGAACCGAACAACATAGATTTCTATAAATACTCGAGAAATATGTCTTTTGATAGTAATATGCGCAGTATACTTTTACTTCAGCCTATAGTATTCCTGAACTTCTAGTGTTTAGATTTACTGAGTGCATACTCACTGTAGAAATATCAATCATATTAGGAGCCAAAATTTTATTATGAGTAAGTGATGTCATTGTTGCCATTGGTGTTTATTCGTTAATATTGAGTTCATGTTTAGTGCTCAAATGCAGAACTTATAACCAGGATAGGATTGTTTCATGGTTACCCTCCCTCCGTAGTTCCGATTGTTCATCTTATTCACGTGACTCTACATATTAAGATATTCACATGCAGTGCACATAAAATCGGTAAATATATATATTTGCTATCTGTTAGAAATTTGTCACAATGGCGCTCAAAATTCCGATAACTTACGCGCTTTGGTGTTTCGAACATTCTTTCAAGATTTACCACTCCGGGGTGATTAAGATTCTATAAAACAACAATCAATAAAACGTTTAACATCCTCTAACATGTGATTAAATCTAGAGAAAAGCAAAATCATGAATAGAGATTAACTGCTTCAGGACATCACGAGTATCGAAGTCGAATATAGATTGTCTGTATGCCTTAACAAATATAGATAACTGCTGAAAAGCCACTGGACTCCTATATTTTTAGCATGGGAACGGATGGCAGCAGATACTGACGAAAATAAGGATTCAACATGCCCTTCATGATAAATACGTTGTTCGAACCCGACAATTTGCATTTGTACCTCAGTCAGTTCGCGATATTGCGCACCTATCATCGGCGATACTTGCATCATACCTGTTATGGTTGAGCTTCAGTCACAACTTATCATCGGTAGTTCATACATTTCCTCATATGTAACTCGGTGATGTCCTTCATTTCGAGGTTTACATCACTGGCCGTTACATAAAAAACTAAGTTATGTTCATTAAAACCCGAAATCACTGCATATATGTCTTGCTTTATATGTCCATATAAATATTTTGAGTAACTTCGTCACTCTACTAACGACTTGTCATCCAAAAATCAAGATGTCAAATTACCAGGAAAGGAAGTTGTCACTTATGCAATATTTTTGAGATATACATCATTCAATTTATAAGGAAGATATACTATTTTGTAATCACGAGAATGAAATAATTGATTTCAGATCAGCAACTGGGTCATTCCCAATTGTGATGCAAATAATTAGTTGTGGTAAATGAACAAATGCAGTAAGATCAACACCATTTTTCCGAACATTTTGGTACTGAACATTGTGCATTCCACTGGTTCAAATTTTACTGTACTTCGATCGAGATAGCTGCGTAGTATCCGTCAAATTTCTCATGACAAATGTTACTCTAAGCTAGCTTTTATGTCTTCTTCACCATATACAGTTTTTGTGTACTCGGTTTTAAGCCGCACTTTTGACCTGTTGGATAATGACAGTTGTATGTAGCTCAAACCAATATTTGTGTTAACTTCGCAGTTAATTGCTGCGAAAATGGGCTAAGTTACTGATTGGCATCGAGTTGATCATGTAGTTATTCATTTGCCCTTGGCAGACTAACCTTGATTTTAATTTTAAGAATATGCTGTACAGAATGGATTTTCAAATATTTTGACTTAGAGAAAAAGATATTTGCAATCTGTAAAGTACTTGATGACTTTACAAATTTTATCATTTACTTAAATTCTTAATTGAGGCTATAGTCAAGTCACAATGAAGGTCACGTTGAACCATTGACCTGGTGGTCAATCTGTAGATTACCAGCTTTTAAATTGTAATTACGTTACTGTAAATGGTGCATACTATTTTTAAACAATGAAGATAGTTTATATATATAAGTTGTGCTAGTACCTATCGAGAATTTTTATCTCCATACATGACACCTGTTATACAAGTTGTAACAGTATTAGCTAAAAACAGAACTCAAAATCTTGGCCGTTTAACTCATCTACTACCATATACCATCGTTACTATACTTATAATTATGAATATTCCCCAAAGTTATTCTTATCAGATTTCCCGGCTTGTTAGCAACTGTAAATCTGTTCTACCTACCTAAAAATGTGATGAAACATTTTTTCTTTGTTGATTGAGTGGAATACTGAATCAATTTAGTTCAGTGTTGATATAATGAAAAAGATCTTAATTCGTTGGAAAGTAAATGACTCACATAATTGACATCCGATCGTTTTTACAATATGTAATCATACTTATTTTGTATTAATGTTTTCTAGATAAGCATTTATCACATAGGAAACCTGTTTTTACTTAACAGCTATTTTGTTTTCTGATATCAGTTTATTGAGGACATGCCTGTCAATCGATCAAATAGTATCATTGGATATTACCTATCGAGAGTAGTTTAGTTCATCCATTCATTCGTTCAAATCATGAAGTTTTAGTGCATAATAAATAGTGTTTTCATGCTTGTCACAGTTATGAATTGATAGAATTTTTTTTCACTTAGCGGTCAATAAGTAAGCTTAGTAATCAATATCCAATCTCATAGATTTGTGCATGGTCAATAAAGTCCATGTCTAACACATTGATGTTGTGGATTTTAATCATGCTTATTTTATGTCCAGAAATGAGACTCATCTCCCCAGTAAATGTTTTAAGTCATAGACTTGCTTTGAAGGCTGGTACTTTCGACCAGTTTTTCACACTAAAATAACTTGAGTCAGGATTGAACTTACAAACTACTAGTTAGAAAATAAGTGCTTTAGCTACAAGACATCTTATCACAACTAGACAAAAACGAAAATCAGTATAATCATTACTTTGAATGTATTTACTAACTTATTAAATAGTATTATATAATTTTATCATAAAATTATTATTATTAAATACTTACACGCAGAATGGATACTTCATTCTTTAGTTGTGCCTCTCTTTTAGTAGGGAATCGTAATTTGTCAATGACTTTAATGGCCACTTCACGTTTCGTCTTACGATGTATACCTATGAAAAATGGATAATTTATCAATGATATGATTACACCTATATATATATACTTAAAGACTGATATTTATCAGATAACCAGGAATCACTGAATGACTGATTCATCTTGACATTATGAAACGTTTGAATTATTATATAGTTGAATCCACCATCTTTGGGTCTCGAATTTCGTTGTAGTTATAGTAATGTAGTAAACGAATATTGAGTTATAAACCTACCAACTTAAAGAAAGTCAATGTAATAACAGCCAAAATTAATCATTTACTCAATTTGACAGTCTACTGTTTTGCAATTTATTCTAGATTTGTTTTATAACTATAAAAAAGATACTCATATGAGTTATTATGATAAACAAATAGTGGTTCTTCTGACCTCAAAAACCGTCAGCAGTAATAACATCCAACTGTTGTAAACATATATAAATACCATTATTATTGTTTTCTAAATTAGATATTACCTCGCTATTATTCTTAAACAAAAAATCGTTTTTAAATTAGTATATAAAAGTTACAACAAATATTTATGTGCATAACTATCTATTGACTAAAAACTAGTTTATATATTTTGATGTGTACATCATGCAGGGTTCATGCACTTCAGTGTAATTTATTAAAAATAATCAATTTTGCTAATATCATATTTCTAATGTTTTCTATTACTGCTAATACTGTTACCGTTTATAGTACTACTGTGGCATATCGTTGTACCAATGTGATGTAGTAACTTGAAGTGATGAATGTTTGTGTTAGGTTCCACATCGTGTATAACCAACTAAGTAGTAACCAATGTTATTTCTGTCTAAACCTTAGTACTGATCTAATTCCATTGATTAAATTGAAGTCTGTCCACTAGTTCAAGTGACTTGACATAGATTGGACTATATTATGTCATATGGTTTCAGGTTAACAACAGAATCAAATTATAAAGTTGTTAAGTAGTCAACAAGTTATCTCAGCAATTTTAAATATTTCAGGCACATCCTCGTAAATTGTATTGTCAAATGTTTGTTTATTAGTTGTACAGTCTATTTATGACCAGTAACTGTCATATATTTTATTTTGTATAATCACTTTGTAAACATTTCACTATAATAAAAGTACAATCTGGCGATCATTGTAAAGATTTTTTTAAAAAATAGCTCAAACGGATGATCATGAGATTGATACATTCTCTAGTCTAAATAATCTAAATATGAAATTCTCATTACCTTTCTGGATAATATCATTCTTGAAGTATATCTTAATGATAATTCCCAGAAAACCAATGAATAATCCATTATCTAACCATTCAATACAGAAAACTATTTAATATATATGTGTAAGCTGAAAGTTACCGAAAATCTAATAACTTATGATTTTACCAGGTAATAAGGATACAATTTTATCACCACAAACTCTCATCATAATGATAATTTATCACTCGATGTGGAACTGAATAATTCAAAAACTGTATATTCATTCATATATTTGTATGTATTAAAAATACTAAACCAATTATAATTACATATAATCGGTTATTCTGTATATATATATATATTAATATCAGTGTTACACAACAAATATAGTTTAGCAAGGCTATTAATTCTATCTTTGATTTGATGGGATTTATGTCCATATGATTTCTGATGTATTTGAGACCATGTGTGTCTTACTGAATTCATGGCATTCACTAAATTCCTGCAATATAATATAGATTTAGTGAAGCATAAGTCTGAGTTATTTGTTCACATGGGTCTTTAAAATATAGTATATTAGTTGCAGTACAACAAAATGTAAATTTTTATTGTGTATCTAGCCTTTAAACAACTTAGAAATAACTAGGATATTTTATTATTAAGAAGAATTAAGGGTATTATTAAATCTGAAGTTTTACATCACGAGCTCATATTTGTTGAAGAACCATTGAAAACCAAGAAGCACTGAACTGTTGAATAGGGCTCCTTCACAACCTTACTGGAGATCGAACCTAAGGCTTTTTGGCCCCACGATCAGAGCTTAAACTTTGAATCAATAGGTTAGCAACTCTAGTAGGGTCGTGAATGTGCAACGCCGAATAATCCCATACTAGAATAAAATAATTATCCAGCGATTCAAGGACGAAATATTTGTCCAGTACTTACTGGTTTAAAATAGCTGTCCAACTACGGTTGATTCACAACCCAAAGAATAAAATTCAATAATCTCGAACCCCGTACACTTATTACTAATTCAAAAACTGGTAAGGATGAGTACATTGATGATAAGATTATAGTTTGTATAGAAAAAAGGAATTACTATTACAATGTTGTTCTTTAAGGATATTTGCAACTTTTTTCAACCTACCTCCATAAACAATACCGAATTGTCCAGAGCCTAAAACTTCATCTGGAAATATTTCATACAATGCTTGGACCTGTCAAAAAATTAGTAAATACGGAAAATAGAAAAATAATCTATAATGAAATACATAAGGATACCGCGTTAACGTATTAAAATAATTCTAGAGCCTTTTTTTATCAATTCATTTGCTCTGTTTTTATTTAGAATTGATTTCAAAGTGTATTCCATTAAAATCGACACTTTTTATCACAACAATTATGAATTTCACTATTTGTGTTTTGGTATTTTACATTAGTAGAATAGATAATGTAAGCGTCAAGTTGCCAACTAAAAGTTTACTAGTTCACCGTACTTTAATTATGATAACCTGATGTGATAAAATTTCATTGAGATTTATGTGTACATAATTGGTTGATCATTGAGTATTAACTAATTTCATGTATATCATTATCGTTCTTAATGCTGATGGAATTCTGTCGATTAAGTTCCATTGTGGCAAGTGGCCTAAGTGACCTAACTTAAAATTACAGGTGAACCTTATTGAAGCGTCCCAAAAAATATTAAAACTAAACCCAAAGTTTCTTGTAGGCTATCCTTAATCATGTTACCAAGTTATATGTTATTCGAAAACCAAACATCCTGTTACTTAGTTAATCAACATTTCTATATTCATGAATAATAGTAAAACCATTTTTATCATTTACCATGATCTCCTTTTGACTAATTATCAACTGTACAGTTAACAATTAATAATTTCGTTAAAATTATTTTTATTTTAAATTTCATAAAAATGAAGTTTTCAATAAACTCAATTTCATGGGTATACATGTATAAATATTTCAATAGATAAAATCTAGAAAATTTCTTAATCAGAAACCAAAGTTAATAGGCAACTTTAGAGGTTGAAATGAATAGTAAATCAAAGTGATTTAGCAAAAGAATAACCCAGATATACAGAATGATTACTTTTGATGTTTCAACAATACAATGATGTTTCAGTTTAATTTTATTCGAATAAGTTAACAGAAATTTGAAGAATTAATTCGTTGAAAGAGCAGAAAGTTGAAATCATAAAATATCCAATGACAAAGCTGAGGATCAACCTACCAGTTTTCTTTGATCTGCCATACTATTTATCGTTTTGGAATACATCTTCCAAGTGATATTGTATTTATGTCTGTAGAAGTACATGAACTTGTAAATGTGCTTTGAAATAGCCTAGCAGATCAGATTTTAGTTTCTCGGTACAAAAGCTGTTGATATGAGAATAGTCTGTAGGGACAGTGAAATGTCACTGAGCCATAGCCAAATAATTCGGCAGTTGAGACACTGAATATCGAACAGATCAGTGATCCCTGTCAAAGTCAAGGATAACCAACGCGCATCAGTCAGTTGTATGCCATGGACTGGCCGATGTGGTGGTGATCTCACCTATCTTCTCTGTACTCATTCTTACTAATATATTTCCGTAATAATGTTCTTTGTGTTGTATGGTCTTCAAAGCATCCATAGTACCTTGATACGACGAAGGGGTGATTCACGTGTGATTTCGACGTTAGCTTTCGGTCATACCATTCTCACTGAACTGAATAGGTTCCCAATCATTCCACATAGATCATCTATGTTGGTGATCTACAAGCCATAGACTTGTAGCGTGAATGTTTTCGTTAAAACATTTGGACAACTATTTGCAACGTCATCTTTAAAATGGCCATCATTTGACTAACAAAACATACTTTTGGTAAATACTCAGTTCGTATGTTATACATGCATATGGGACGTGTTTTACTTAATACTGATATAATGTAAGAATAAGTGGTTTATATACACATTTTTTTCTTATGTTAGCTAACAAAAAATTATCTTCTGAAGACGGATGACTAAACAAATAATTTCAACTATGACGCAAATTACAACAGAGAGGCAGTGTCATTACAATGTAGTTATGACAACAATTTATATTGATTCCAATAACTAATGGGAATTTTATCTTAGGTATTCGTTAGGAAATAGGATAGTGGCCCAATGGTCAATACAGTTGAAGTCCCAACCCTGATCCATCAACTTCTGTTTGAGGGACCATAAAATGTTCAACTTAATACCAATTAAATAAACTCATCTTTCCCAAATAAATTAATATTATCCATTAGGGTTTTTGGTATCTGAAAAGCTGTGCAGCAGAAATGAGCTGTGTTCTTCAGGTTGAAGGCAGCCTGAATGATGTCTGATTCTCATGAAAACCAATGAAAAATTACCATCTTTCAGTGTATAGTTATAATATATTAATTCTCTTAAAAGTAACTTTTGTGTAATTGGAGGGCACTTTATCGTGTAGAAGTTGTTTATTTACAGTGACTCAATAAAGCTCATTCCACCAACCATGAAAGCGAATTAACTAGATGTCTTTTGAAGAATGAGCATAGGATTGCATGGATTTTTATTTTTTAATAATCAACCACTAAATACATAAAACATGTATTGGTCATAAATATCTGACCATCGATGACAGCATTGGATAAGCAAGACCAATACTATGAGTAGAGTAACAGACAAGGCAAGCACTTTAACTGATTATGTTGTAAGTCTTTAACAATCGGGTAGGTATTAAACAATTGTAAAAAATACTCAATCACCAACTACCTAACTCTGGTACTCTGATTATCATTGTATTGTATTTTTTTAAAAGAAAACAAATAATAGTATGCCACCAACTCATGAATCTATCAATTTTCGGTTAAACTATGTATAGATGTAGGTTTTTTAAATCGTGTGTCGTACTTCTAAGACCATTAGTTGACGATTTTAGGCCAGAATGCCGGTAACTACCACTCATCAGTATCAAATTTATGTTTTTATCTAAATTCCAAGTATTTTATTTATTTTAATCTTATTCCTTATTTTTAGTAACTCACAACATATTAATGTTATTCGTTTCACGTTTTTGCTTTTTCATTCTCTATCATCGATCTGATATTTTGGGAGCTTAAGCACTGATTGACTTGTGGTTGAGAGTATATAGGAATGATGTCCTTGACTATTGATCAATGAAGTATTACGTTGTTTGTTGTTTTTTTTCATGAAAAGATAAATGTTTCTGAAATAATTGATTATTTTTCTAGCTCGGGCTTAATTTCATAATCGTGTCACTAATTAAAACATTCTTTTTCTCATCGAACAAACTTATATGAATAAATATATATGTTGGTCAGAAATGTTTGTTGCAATATGCATGATCACGATAACAAGAAATTAAGAAATTAGGTATAATATGTGCATACATTAGTAAGAAATACTTAATCGACATCGATTTTTTCACAGTTATGCTATACGAGATAGCTGGTAAATGAGTTTTTTTTTTAAAAAACATATAGTATATGACGTTGAAATAAGAATCAAGTTCCAGGTGAATTTGATCCGATCTATCTTCAGAATATTGAACTAGGAGTTTGTCAGTTGAGTTTAGTTCAAATTTTTACATGGGTTTTAGGTGCTTATTCGTTTTTAAATGACTCACAAACAAGCATAAAAAACTGTTCTGCCCAATAATCTGAAGTTTTATTAGAAGGACACAGAAGTTGGCATCTCCCAACTACCTTTAATGAAATTCAAAAGGCCGAAAATGAATAATAACAGGATAAACATTTTCGAAAAAATTACTCGTAAACTTAATTTTAAATAAGTGAAAATGTTAAATCAATTAATATATCTATTTGAACCCGCAAATGTGTTAATTATTCACTTCGTTCGCTGTAACCCTCAGTTAGTTCAAAGCATTTAACTTTGTAGGTGACCATATTACATGGTCTAGAATGTTTGATCTTATGACGTTTTAGTGTAAAAACCGTAAGATTAGTGACTGAAAAAAACTTACCTGAGAGAGGACTTAATCGAAACTGAAGAATTGGTAAATGATTTACAAATCACCGCTTTAAATTTACATCTAAGTCGGCTGTCTAGATTATGGAAAAACTCTTTGAATTAAGAAGAAAAGTGTCTAGGATTTATAAATAACTCTGGACTTACTAGGAAAACATTAGTGGTCCTTAATTACTTCTAAGATTTGGATGATAAATTCTGATGGTTTTATTATATTGAGTAACTAATCAAAATGCGGTATCTCGACCATAAAACAAATTATGTGTGAGCAATCGATCGCTTATCGTACACAGTAGCTAAGCTGGCAGACTCAACAGTGAATACAACCAGTGAGGTGTAATTTATTGTTTGGCAGAAATGGTTATTGATTCCTGCTGATAATGATTTGCAACAACTAATTAACACTGATACATCGCCTACTTATAAGTAGTTGATAGTCATATGTAAAACAATATAGAGAATATTGTTAAACTTCGAGTTAACTGTTCATTAAATACTGATAAAAGTGTTGATCAGAAGTATTTCCATATAGTTTAAGCCAATCAAGGAGTTGGAATTAATTTAACAAGAAGTAGAAAAGTGAGACATTAATTTAAATTGAAGTAGAGATGAAGAAAATAATATCAGATAAATCAAGTAATCTGATACAATTGCGGTGTGTGCTACTTATATCGACATAAATAGTATATGACGTTAGTCAGACATAGAATGTCTGGCAGCAGAGAGACAAGAGGATCGGACATTAAAGAATGGAAACAGAATGTAATTTGTATGAAAATGCAAAAACAATGAAGTCTGAGTCATTTTAAGACAACTGATAGATATTTTGCAAATTAAGCATTTACTGTATGGCTCTTAGATTTTATTGAGATGCTCTGTAATTACGTGTTCAAGTACGTTCTATTGTCCTCAGTGGTATCCTGGTTCACTGCACAATGAATAAATTTATTAGCTCAACTTACAAAGGAATTACGAGTTATCAACGTTTGGATTCACTCGTAAAATATTGAATGGATCAGCTATTAGGCCGTATTTATACTATGAATTCATATAAATGTTTATTATAAGATGATACTCTTATTAACTATAAACAAATCAATTTACTATATATATGGAAGGAGCAAGAAAAGAGAATAAAATATAACGAAAGAAAAAAATAGTATGGACTTACATTATCACTAGGTTGTTTACTTTCAATAAAAGCACTTATTGAACTACCTGTAAATAAAACGACAAAAATGGAATAGAAATCGTCAATATGAGCTAATTTTGACTTATTTAATAGTTAGTTTCATTTTAAAGCGGTCAGTTATACATTGTGTAGACAATCCTAGTTAAAAATGCTAAAAATAAGTTGATTAGTACCTAAATGAATAGATTTTTAAAGGGGGAATAGGTCTATCATTGACTGACATTAATCAAACAATCCTTAAAGGTCAGAAAGAATTGAATATTTGTTTTGTTATAGTTTGTGAGTTTTGAACACTTCTGTATATCAACAACTTTATATAAGATGAATATCGTACAATTAACCCTTTATATCAGCCGTATGTAAATGTTTAACTACCAGAGAATTCGACTGAACAATTCATTACACCCAGTCGGAATTTTATAAAATTTTATAAAATCTACGTTAGAATTATTCACTTATAAATACACAATTATTATTTATTTGAGTAGTTCTACGCAAGTTCCATAGATACTGATAATCTAGCGATAAACTAAATCACAGAGTAGACCTGATAAGCTCATCTTATACTTATAGAATGTATGATGTTGGTGTGAAATCATAACATATATCGAAGCGCGTCATTATCGCTCAGCTTTACATCATGTCTTGAGCTCATCACATTTAATATATATATATATAAAATTTCAAGTACACCAAACGATGCTCTACCAGTTTGAAGGCAATATCTTTATAAGTTATAATAAATATAGAGACACTATTCATCTATCTGTTTGATGAACTCAAGACATGATGTATATTCTTCACATATTACCGGCTTTCTATATTCTTCTGCGAGATGGCAAAATAGAACCTTTTTAACATTAACCACACATAGTTGTAATCAGTTAAGCTATTACCTATGATGTACCGAATTTAGCATACACTCTTATTTGTGTTTTCTGGTTATCATTATTTTTGAAGAGATTATCAGTTCTGCAATGTATATTCCGCAGAAATTTTGTTGAAATCTAACGAAATCGCTTTTCTTTTAGCACTGAATTACATTACTGTTAATCTAGAAACAGTTGCATTAATTTCGGCTTTATAATCAGCATAAAGTGGATGAAATATTTCATGCGTTAATGATAACAGATATTTAAATCATATTTTTGAAATTTTTAGTGTAGATTTACACTACTTTATATTTAATGAGTAGGTTTACCACTACAAGCTAAATTCTTAAAACTCGGTCAGCTAACAGTAATCGATCAGGTTAGTGATTTTTAAATGAATAACTAGCATTTGAGTGAACAAACATTTTAGAAGGCCTTAGGTCCAATGTTCGAGTCTTGCGTGTGCACTGCTAGGGAGTCTCATACTAGGGTGATACGGCCGTCCAGTTCTTCCAGGTTTTCAATGGTGATCTATCTTGTGAATTCAACTTTAAACATACTGCAATCTCCACAAATCCCCTGAAATTAATAGATATGTTAAAATATTTCCAAATAAGTATGAAAATGTTTGCTTTTCTGAAAAGAACGTTTATATTTTTTAGTTTAAATATTACGGGCAAGTCTTCAATAATAAACTTACAAATTGATTCACAGCGTGTGTTTTACCCGAGTACTGAATAACAAAAGTGAATGGCCATATTATTTTGTATGACATGCTTTTAGTGGCCAGTGGAACAATTTATCAATAAACATTAATTTGTATACAAGATTTGGTTTAGACTGATAAATTTTACCGACCCAAAATTTTTTCTAGAAAGATTCTATTTCGAAAACCATATCGTAAGAATACCAACCGACAGAATTTGACTATCACTGAAGGACTAGACAAAAAGAACATTGGTACTACTCATTAATCAACTAACTGAAGATTTCTGTCGTACCGATGGTCAGTTGTGGCCCGATTAGCTAAGTGATAATGTCTCATAGTCACTATCTGATGACAAGTCTTATAGTTTTAAAGACCCGACCGTAGCTGCTACCTTGACGTGGTGGTCGGGCTTGCCTATCGTGATGACCCAACCGAGCTATATTGGCTGAAACTCAAGTTCCTGCAGGTTCTACCATGCCAGGCAGGTCGATTGGAGAACGGTAAGACTAAAAGCAGCAACTCAAGGTCTGAGGGCGAAGTCGTACTGCTGACTGTACAGAGGTGTGACAGCAGTAAGGTGTTTCCCTCGAACAACCAGCATCTGCAGCGATGCTGCCTTCTCACAAGGAAGGAAGGGGTTAGAAAAGGTTGACCCTAAAAATGCCACACCTCACCTTACCCCACGGATTTCCGTCTCCGGCGGTAAGGCCCTTTGAAGAACGGAGCTAACACATTAAAAACCTCCCACAAAAAGGCCGTGCGCGACCGGCCTCAAGCAGTTGTCCCTTGGGCTCTGCGGTCACGCACTCAGGTCGCTAAGACCAACACTAATCCGATTTCCTTTTCAGGTCCCTCAAGAAATACCCTTCCACGGTGTGGGCAACCGGGAAGTGATATCAGCCCTCATACCCGTAACAGCACACGAGACCAAGTTGGTCACATTCAAATCCTTCCTACACCTCCTAATAACTCTCTTATCTCCACAAGTAACCCTTCTCGCGTTTCTTTATCACCTCGCCCCACTAGTGTAAACGATTAGAGTACGCGGAATGTTATTCCTGGTCTCCTGAAACCACGCTCCAAACTACACGTAGGAGCTTTCAACGTCCGAACACTGTGCCAAATAGGGCAACAGGCTTCCTTAGCTAAGACTTTAGAATCTCGCTCCATCCATGTGTGCTGCGTCTCCGAAACGCGCACACAGGATCCTAGTAGTGTCATTCATTTGACTGCACCATGTCAAAGTAACGAACCAACTGGATTTACGCTTCATGTATCTGGAAGCCCTGATGCTGCATCCCGTGGCCTCGCTGGCGTAGGTATAGCACTGAGTCCTAGGGCAGAACTAGCTCTCTTAGACTGGATCCCAGTAGACAGTCGTTTGTGTGCTGTCTGACTAAACGGGACAGTAGGGACTCGAAAAGATAGGGACACTCGTCGTTGCCTCTTCGTCGTCTCTGCCTACTCTCCCACTGACTGCAGCTCAGATGATGTAAAAGATGAGTTTTACAGAAAGCTTTCCGACCTTCTCCGAAAAGCTAGGCGTTCAGATGTAGTAATAGTGGCTGGTGACTTTAATGCTCAAGTAGGTAAACTATACGAAAGGAAGAGACACCTGGGTGGATCTTATGGTGTCGCGGTTCAAAGAACAGATAACGGCGACCGTCTGTTGCAGCTATGCTCAGATAACTGCCTGTTTCTTGCAAACACTAACTTTAAGCATAAGGAAAAACATCTTTTGACATGGCGACCCCCTAATTCGTCTCAACGCTGGACCCAAATAGATCACATCGCTATCAGCCACCGATGGAGGGGCTCGATAGAAGACTGTCGCTCATTCTGGAGCACATGCTTAGACTCAGATCATGCTCTAGTGCGAGCGCGTATTTGTCTACGTCTTACTGGACGTAGGAAACATGCTGCAAGGAAACCCCTTAGGGTCCTACTTAATGATAGTCAAGCTAAGAGTATATTTCAGGAACATCTAGAAAAACAGTTAGGCAGCCATGTAAGTGATACCCACCCCGAGGCAGCATGGAATGACATCCGAAAAGCTGTAGAAACAGCAGTGATGTCTGCAAGTACGCTGAACCATAAGGTTAGCGAGAAACACTGGATCTCAGCAGCATCTACCGCACTGATAGATGCTCGAAGACTCATTCCATCTGGCTCTGAACATAACGAAGAGCGGAGTCAGCTTAAGCGTAAGCTGACTAGAAGCCTACGCAAAGATCGTGAACAGTGGTGGGTAGCGAAAGCAAGAGAGATGGAAAAGGCAGCGGCAATAGGTAATAGCAGGCAACTGTTCAGACTTGTTAAGGAAACCGGTATTAGGAAGCCAACTGTTAGCGAAACTATGTTAGAGAAAGATGGACATATTATTCATTCTCAATCCAGGAGATTGGATCGATGGGCAGAACACTTTAGGGATCAGTTCAACTGGCCTTCAGCCATACTTCGGTTTCCCACGATCCCCAGTCGACCTGAATGGCAAGTTGATGTAAGTCCTCCGACTCTTGACGAAGTTGAAAAAGCTATAGGAAATCTGAAGCGTGGGAGAGCAGCAGGCCCTGACAGGTTTACCCCTGAGATTTTTAAGGATGGCGGTCCAGTATTAGCAGCGAGATTGACTGAGGTCTTAGGTAGAATCTGGGAACTGGACGTAATCCCATCTGACTGGTCTCAATCACTGATTGTACCAGTCTATAAGAAAGGACAAAAGTCCTCCTGTGACAATCACAGAGGAATTAGTTTGACTAATATAGTGTCTAAAATATTAGCTTCAATAATACTTCGACGTCTAACCAAAGCTCGTGAAGAGCAGACTAGAGAAAACCAGGCTGGTTTTCGACCTGGACGTGGTTGTATTGATCAAATATTCACATTACGTCAGGTCCTAGAACATAGACACACATTCAGACGTCCCACAATGGTAGTATTTCTCGACCTTAAGGCGGCATTTGACTCTGTTGATCGTAAGGTTCTATGGCAATGTTTGTCACTGAAGGGAGTACCAAAGAAGTACGTCAACCTTATAAAGGCTCTCTACTCGAACACAACTGGTCGAGTGAGAGCTTATGGTGAACTGTCATCAGAATTGATTACCTCAAGTGGTGTTCGTCAGGGCTGTCCACTCTCTCCATTCTTGTTTAACTTTGTCGTTGACGTCCTTTTAGAGATGACACTTTCCTCATCTAAATTTCCAGGAGTTGAACTTCTACCGGGAGATCCACTTGTTGACTTAGAATATGCCGATGACATAGTTCTATTTAGTGAAGACGCTGACAGAATGCAAAGTCTGCTGACCACTCTAAGCAACAATGCAAGCCTGTTCGGCATGCGATTCTCTCCCTCGAAATGCAAAATGTTAATTCAGGATTGGGTTGCGTCGACACCCGAACTAGTAATAGGGAGTGAAGTAGTTGAGCGTGTCGACCGTTTCACTTATCTCGGAAGTCTCATCAGCCCTTGTGGTTTGGTGTATGATGAAATCTCAGCACGGATACAAAAGGCTCGACTAGCTTTTGCCAACTTGCGTCATTTGTGGCGTAGTCGAGATATCCGTCTATCAACCAAAGGACGTGTTTACTGCGCAGCAGTTCGTTCCGTCCTACTTTATGGCAGTGAAACATGGACGGTAAGAGTAGAGGATATTCGTAGGTTACTAGTATTTGACCATAGATGTCTTCGAAACATTCCTCGTATATCCTGGGACCACCGAGTAAGTAACTCAGTTGTTAGGAAACGGGTACTAGGTAAGGATGGTAAATCAATTGAGGAAGTAGTGAAACTTAATCATTTGAGATGGCTGGGACATGTGTTGCGCATGCCCGACCACCGACTGCCCCGACGTGCTGTTTTATGGTGTAGGAGTAGGTTGGAAGAAAGCTAGGGGCGGCCAGACCAAAACATGGCACAAATCCATGAAGTCACTGACAAGTGGACTGAGTCATGTTGGTAGGTGTAGACTACCTGGTTGGGGACCGCGAGACGATAGCAACCGATGGTTAGAGACCTTGAATGACATGGCTCAAAATCGTTTGCAATGGCGCAGGTGCATCCACTCTTTGTGTTCTCTCAAACTCTAATCTTCTGAATTCTTCATGTCCTTTATTTTCTTTCCCAATTTATTCCACTGGACTATACTCCTTTAATAACATCATCAAACCTTAATGTCCCCTATCTCTACTTATACTTTCAGTACCTCTACCACTATGGGATTTGAATCGATAACTAAATTCATGTGCTAATGTGGTATGGCAACTCGAACTGATGTACGTACGTACGAAGTTCCACGTTGTTACTGACTGACTGACTGAGTTTTTAAAGTGTGGTAGTGCATACGAGAATTTAGCTTTTTCTTTTTGTATATAAAAAGTGACGAATACTGATAAGTAGCTACTTAACAGCAGTGATGTAATCTGATGTTATCTTTCCACAGTTTGAGTTCAGCAATAGATCTTATCAAATAATTTTATATAGTATAATACATTGATTATGGATTTAGAACTGAGCTCGAAGAAAAACCTATCGAAAACAATTATTCACTGAATTATTTTTTTGTGTTTTATTTTCCTAAATACTCTTGAAGAAGGTCATATCAGAATTCTGTACTTCTTTGTTTCCATAGGCCAATAATTTAATGGAATAAATAACGATCACGTTTCTGGAAACTAGTCGAATGAAAATTTTCCTCTATCTTGGTAATAATTCATGATTCTTGAGTTCATTTGATGTTTCTCATAGTTTTGTATAAATTTAAAATTTCTATAAATTTAATACTATGTACATAGTTATGTGATACATAAGGTATATTGAAATCTGATATCAAAATAAAGTACTTTTTAAGCTATTCGTTGAAACAAAAAACCCATTTAATTGGCGACGTCATCCTTACTGATCTATTTTTAAAAATATATATTGTATGTCATTCTGTATTTCATAGTGATTATCAAATTCTATGCACTCAGGATCAAAGTAATTTTTTAATCGACTGGAATAATGGCTAAAAATAGAATCAAAGTCGCAAATCTTGTTTTATTTTAAATTTTTCAGCTGGGTTCACTTACATCTTAGTAATTCGATGTTACGGTGTATTATGTTTCATTTTAGGTAGTTCGAAGCTATCAAAGTAAAAGCCAATGGTTTAAGCTAATTGGTTATGAATGGTTTTAATCATGAAATGTTTCCAAACTTACGAAAATCTATAATTTTTCCAACCGTTTAATATTCGTATAAATTTATTTCATAATAACAAATTTAATAGTTAAATTCATGAGTTAATTGAAACGAACCACCATGGAAAACCTGTAAGCAATGGGTGGCCGTTTCGTCCTAGTATGGGGCTCCTCAACAGCGTGCATCCACGATTCCGCCTCGCCAGCTTCAAAACCAGGACCTAACTACTAAACCACTGAGCCTGTATCCAACGGTGTTAATGCCGTCTAATGCTTCCAGGTTTTTTATGACGGTTTAGCTTCAATCGACTCATGAATTCAACTATTAAATAATTATAATTTATCAGAGAAAAATAAGATTTAAAATCTCTACTGAACGCTTATTTAATCAAATTCAAACTTTGATTTTAGGCATGAAAAATATTTAAGTAATTTATTGTATAATATATTCAAACCGTGACATATGTAAGAGTTTATCTGTATATCTACTTTATATTGTTATTATACTTCAGTTAATAAATGACTAAGATCCTGGATATGGCTATGGATTCATTAATCATTTTGTTTGTTATAAACATTAAATGTATTCATTCAGTAAATTAACATTTCTGAGATATATATTGTTGGTGAACATTTGGGTATTGAGTTATTATATTATAATATTCAAAGAAATTGGCAATAGAATCAAATATAATAAATTACTAAAAAAAATCAAATATCCTTTGTTGTTGGAGTTATATTACGGGCGATACAGATGGGATTGGATGTTCAGTTTCATGTCTTTTATTTATTATTAATCAATAGGTGTTCATGTTGCAGTCAACTGTATTTCGTCTATTTTATCCCGATTGCTTAGTAATATATATATATATATATATATATATATATATATATATATATATATATATATATATATATATATATATATATATATATATATATATAAACTTTAACAATCCCTATTAAGAAATAGTTTAACTCTTACCTGTACCATCATCATCTTCTTCAGCTTTTTCTAAATCTGATATTTCCATAGTTTTTACATCAATTTCTTTGTTACAAGTTTGTGAACACTCTGATATGTTGACTGGATCTTTACATAATGGTGAATTAATTGTTACAAGTTTTGGTATAATAAATTTATTATTTGTAATTGATGAAGTCATGGATTCTTGTGTTTCATGAGTTTGTTCCAAGATTTCTTTATCTCCTTGTTGTTGAATTGTTTTTGTAGATTGATAATTTACATTGTTGATTGTAGTATTTTTCTGTGAACTTGTTCTTGAAGTTAAAGGTAACATTGATTGACGTATAGCTGTTTCTAAATGTTTTGCTAAATCTAAACCAGTTCCTGGGGGCGGTGGGAGAATCGCTGCACGATAACAACCATCACTTATAGAATTTTCTTGTATACAATTACCAGTCATTTGAGTTTTCATGCATTGAGATAAATCAACTTTTAAGAAATTAGATGATTTTATATTTGTAGTCAATAATGATGATGATAGCGGTGGTTGTGGTGGTGGTTCAGGTAAATATACTAAACCATAAAGTGGAGCAGAAGCTTTACGTACATAAGATACAGCTGATGGTAATGCTGGAAAATGTGATTTACGCCGAGAATGTAATTTAAACAATAATGAAGAATCATTTTCATTATCTAGACTTTCCATATAACCTAACTGACCAACATAATAAATTAAATCATCAACACAACGTAATTCAAACACGTGATCCGGTATAATAAGTGAATTATCTAATTTCATACCGTTATTATTATTATTTTTAATTAACTTTGTTGTGAACTCATTGAGATTTAACGATTTTAAACGAGTTTCACATTCATTTATATTTTTATTAATAGTATTTGAACAATTATTTGTTGTGGCTATTGTAGTAGTAGTAGTCGTAGTACTAGCCTGAGAAGTGTTTGGATGACACCATGGATAAGGATTTGTACCAGCTGGTTCCAAGCAAATGATATCGTTTAAATTAAGTTCCTATGAAAAAAAACAAGAAATGGAAAGCAGCATATTTCATTATATTCATTAATATACTTTGATTATATCAATTAAAACAAAAGACAAATAACGAAGCCACTATATGTATAGTGAAGACATCTTATCTTGTATACGTTTAATAGAAATTTTGAAAGTGTATGTTTGTTTGTTTAGTGATTGCTAAATAAAGTTGAGAATAATAACATAGATGACGTTAGTGGTGAGATCTTCAATATTCAATGGGTGTGTTGTATTCAGTATTTTTGTCCATTTTTCTCATTACTTTAGTGAATAAATTATATAAATATAATTTCCCTTCGAGATTGTAATTAAGGTATAACTTTTCATTCTGTATTTTAATGTACACGACAGTGACATAAACATAACAGATAGTTGTAGATAACTCCTAACTCTTGAAATGAAATCTTTAGAAAAACATTACACTACACTAGTCAGCATTCATTCATTCAAGGAATGGAAAAAAATTTCCCGATAGTGATGGATATGAAATATTTATTGAACACTAAATTCGTTGCAGATAACTGTAATCTAACTAAAATAAACATTGAAATTCAATCAAGGAATGTTATGTTGGTGGATCTATAAGGAGAAAACTCAATGAAACATTGTGAAGTAGTTCGATGATAAATAATAAATGAATTCTTGGAATTTTCAACGAGAATTCAATATTGTTAAATATAACTGTCAAGTTTAAAACGTTCCTCATAGTACAATAAATAAAGTATTAAAAATCTTTTATTCTAAACTTTCATACATTAAGATATGTTCTTTAATCACAGTATTTTAGATACTTTGACCATAAATAAAGCCACCTTTTAATTTACCCCATCGCACAAGCAAGTGATTATCAGGAATCAGTAGATAAGTGGATAACGTTCTGGATTCCACTGTTAGCTACTATTCATTTTTGCTTAAAGTTACTTTTTATTGTTGTACATTTTGTTTAAATATCATTCATAAAAATGCTATAAAAATTACTATATTAACAAAAATGTAATCTTGTGTTTACTTAACAAATATTTAAGAAATATATTTTATGGTAACCAAATTCAAGTAAGCTATACAGTAATAACTGGGTAGCGCAACTATTAAAAAAAAGTTGTATATTGCGATTAATTCAACCGTTTGATAACATGAGTTAATCCCTTAAAGTGTTGACATCTTAACAGCCATTTCATATCAGTAACGAAAAGTACCACTATAGTACATGTAAAAAGTTACTGATAACTTCATTCTAACTGCGAAACTTGTCACTGAATTATCCTTTTATCTAGCTAATTAAGATTGTTAGAGTAGGGTTGAAGAGATTGCTAAATTTTATTTAGATTGCGAACCCATCTAAGTTAAACAACACTGGAGATGTAAAAGCATCGGACAGCTGTTTCATTCTAGTGTGGAAATCTTCATTAGTTTTCAACTACCACCCCGCAACTGGGAACATAAACACTGATCCGGGATCAAATGCTGTACACGTTTAACTAGTATTCACACAATAATTTGGTAATACATGTTAAAATTAAGAGTTAACACAAAAATAACATCCTCTATTGTTATGAAAGTTACAAAGTATACTACTTCTAAATACCTAATATTTAAATATAGTACAAGCAATGTCAGGTCATTTACACTTATAGCTACATTATAATTCGGTCAATGAAATTCAGTTAGCATTAAATGTTAGACAAACACAATACTGGTTACTACTCGATGATTAATCGGTGCCAATAATTTATACTAACTTGGACATCAGAGAGTTAGTGATTTGAACTAATCACGTACTAAGAATTGAATAGTTCATAATTTCAGACTTAGCAGTTGATCAGTTTGATGATTTGATTGTGAAGTAACTTGTGAGAATTTTTGTAGGTGAATTTTTATATAAGATACAAGTTAGAGTTAAAATAGAAATTACTTTTACTGATACTGTAGACTGCTAAGTAATCCATAACTCTCATAATTTGCATCATGAGTTGATCATAGTTAGACAACCGATGTAATTTCAGAAGCACTGGACAACTGTTTTATACTATTATAGGACTTCTTAGCTAGATAAAATCACGACCCCACATTGTCTCCAACTTTAGATCATTAATCCAGAGGAGAGCAATCAACTCCTTGACCGCTACACAGACATCCAATGATGCATATGTCTAACTTCAGTCAGTTCGTAGTCTTGCACAACCATTTTCTATTATCCTTGGTGAGTACATAACTATTTTTAATGTAGAGAGTTTATCGAGACTACTGAACTCAGGACTTGCAATCCTGGTTTTTTTATGGGATCATGAACATGCACCTCTAAGGACTTTCATACTAATATGAAACATCTATCTACAGCTTTCGAGTTTTCAATGATTTTACAATTAAGATCAGTTCACAATGTAAGCTAAGAAAGTTCAACAATCACAATTTTCTCCTATACTTGTGATTTATGACTTGCAATGATTTTATTTTAGTTTTCACTATACTATCAAAGAAACTACGATATGGAAAATTTTTTTTACTAATTATCCTAATCATTTTATAAGTAAAAGAGAAGAATAAAGCAAGTTGTTTGTCTCGAAAAAAAACTGTTGTTTAAACAAGAGCATGTTGTAATAATAAATTGTGATAAACACATCATCATTAAAATGTATGTTCTCTTTAATTAAACAATGAAACATGATATATATATATATATATATATATAAAGAATATAAATAGTTCAGTCCATTATTTAATAACAATAAGTTTACCAAGTTACATTCTGTATATCAGTAACAAAAACAAATGTGTTTTTTAAAAACAACCTGTTTTCTATCTTCACGATTGCAACAACTACAGGAAGAGCTATGAAAAAAAATCAGTTATATCCATAATGATTTGTTCACAATGTTTAACAGAATGGTCTGAATAAAATAGGATTATTTGTTGACAGCAATCAACTCAAAGTACTAGATGATAGGAAGTCAATTTACAGATAAGATAAAAGATAGATACAAAGACATATGTATGGTGTAAGATGGTGGTTGGAAGTATTTGACAGAAAACCATCCTTAACTTTAGTTTCGTGTTATTTGTCACTCGTCAGTAAGGTGTACCTGTACTTGGTGGATTCAATCTCGTGTCACTCAGTCTTACAGTCAACTAGCAATACATCTCAGTCCTTTACGAGGTCAGTTCTATTCAGATGGCTCTGTGGTAACGTCTTTGATTGTGAATCTGGGTGACAGGACTGAATCCACCAGGGAGCATTAGTTTCCTTAAAATTATAGATACACCTTATTAACCAGTAAAAAATAATACGAAACCTAATTCAAGGAAGGATTTCTGAGGATTATATCCCTAACAATCACCTTGCATTTTAATATAGCGTACGCGACGTCGAATCATTTGGACTAGCGGCTACATTACAACTTGATTGACGGAATTCTGTCAGCGCGAAGAAGGGCTTGACATACATAACACTGATAACTACTCAATGATCAATCAGTTGTAAATTTATGGATCAACTAGTAATAATTTGTATCTATGTAGCTGATACAAAACCAACTGTGGTTACTTTTTCTGTACCTATCACAATAAATGCTAATGGTATGATCATAAGTATGAAATAAATAGTGGTTGATTTAAGTGCTATTAGAAAGTATATAATTAATATATCCGGGTGTACGCTTTTTTATTAGAATATTTATTTAATTTATTGCAAGCCATTCCCATATGAGATGTTATTGGTGTTACCCATGGGAAACATCCAGTTTTGATTGGATATGGGTGTTTTATGATTTGTATAATTTTAAAATAATTTTTCCAATATAACTACACAAAAACAACGATCCCTGAAATTTCTTTGATTAAACATTGCAAAAAATCATACAGTGGCTCATTAGCTTCATCCAATCTATATTCATAACATCCTCCTACAGAAATCAATATGACTTCTGAGATTTTCATAGCTTCCGGTTTCTTATCTTATGTAAATAATGAAATTATTTACTTGGAATATTTGTTTGGTGAAATGCTTTATGCCTCAGATTGAACAAGTCTTGAGGATACAGTCGCTTCTTGAAATATACAATACCACACAGTGAATGCAACAGTGTATATAGTTGATTAGTTTTAAAATTAACATGTGTAGCGTGACTGAACGGTGATTTCTTAACAAACTAGAATTCTTGATACACATTCTATCAATAAATGTATAACCCAATTGTTCAGCAAATAAAGGTATTTTTTATTTACCCAAAAGCCAAATTTATGCATAAACCATTTCATACAAAGTCAAGATAGTCGTTTAGTCATAAATAGTTGTTCTCATTAAAAGATCATTAGTAATGGATATTTTAGTTTAAGAATTAATTCAATATTTTTGCCATAAAATTAAGTTTCAGGATTTAATTAAAGTAATTCAAATTAGTAAGTTTGTAAGTATCAATGCCAAGGTTGGACTGGATAGTTTCAATCAGTTGAGAATGGGATAGAAAGTTAACAATAAATATATATTTGTGATATCTTAATAAATAGAAAATTGTATTTCTGACGTTTCATGACTTAACGTAAGTCATCCAAAATTTTGCTAAGCATTGAATTCAGAACCTTCAAGTCTCGTAGAGAACATTCAATCATTAAGTTCATTTGGATAAAAGTTCAATGGTATGATTTCAGTATATATTGACCTGAGCTATGTCTTGATAATTAGCTATTGTCATAAATGATAGTTGTTTCACTTATGAAATGTTTGAACTCCACTGGCTAAGTATATCACTAGAACTATGAGAAAATTATGAAGGAAGTCACTAGTGAGCTAACTATTACAAATACTACCTACAAGTTAAACCAACTTCCAAAAGCCTCATTCAACTAAATCCAACTTGTATTTAAAACTTAGTGCTTGCAAGACAAGATGCATTTGAGTAACCTTAGAAATCCAGATGATGATTCTTTCTGTTCTTCATCACAGAAGTTATCTATATACAGACACAAAAGTAACCATTAAATTCTAGCCTTTGTCATTTTTACCTAGGGGTTAAAGTCAAAGTAACTATTCTGATGGTGTTGGGTGATACTTCGTACGACAAAGACTGTAATGTACAACAACTTTGTGTAAAAGATAATGTATTATTGTGGAGTTCGTCAATATTCTGAAAGCTAAAATAAGAATCTCTAAAAGATTTGCATATAAATTACTTCAGATTTTAGATTCAGATTTGAATTTGAATGTATTATCAAAAATTAAGCATTTAATACTAGATCACCTTCCTAATTCTTTGTCTATAAAGTTTTATATAAGCTTAAAGACTTTCGTGTCTACTTGATCTAAAATTGAAAAAAAAATACAGATTATCGAATTGTTTCTAATCTCATGATAGTTATGTTACATTATTGTTCCACTTTTTAAAGTTCATCGAACAAGATCATAATTCTAAAGCGTGTAACTATTCAATAAATATGTCGAAACGTTCTAAGTGACATATTAATTTATATGTTAGGAAGTTATCATCATAATTTTTAGAAGGTATTGTATATATATATATATATATATATATATATATATATATATATTAATGATAAGCTAGTGAATAAGAATACAACTTACCTTGAAATAACGGTTTGTTTTCTCATGATAAAACATTGTTATTGATTTAGTCCCAAGACGCCAAAAATGTCGACGCAACTATAACAATAAATGTAAGAATGAAAATGTATAAAATCGATGTGAAGGGATTATCTATGCGCAGCTGATGTTAGTCATAAAAATACACTATTCAGGTAATGGATAATATTTGTGAAACAGTAGAAATTTCAACTCAAAAACTTATTAATAAACTTATGATCCATAATGTATCTGCTAAGATTACAATTATTGTTTCTGATCAAGATCATGAACCGATCGATGTTAGACCACTATTGAAAACCCGGAAGCACTGCAAGGCCGTTTCGTCCTATTGTGGGACTCTTTGGCAGTGGGCATCCACGATCCCGCTCGCGGGACTCGAACTCAGTGCCTTCGGTCTCGCACGCGAACTCTTAGCCTACTGGACCACTGAGCCGGCATCCAGTGGTGTCAATGTCTAACCTTACCCAATCTACGAAATTGTGCGACCTTCTTCCATTTTGCTGAGGTAAATACCTGTCTTTACCTGATATGGATTAGCTCCACTGATCACGGCTTCTCACTAGAACTCCGAGAATTTTCTCACGAAGCTAGTCACTAGTGAGCACATGGTAATTATCAGTTTATGGGTTGTGGAAATTGTTTCATTCATGAGGTATAATAAAACAAAAAAAGATATTTTCAAAGTAAAAGATTCATTGAAATATAGGGGTTGATATGACTAATATTTTATTCTGCATACTGATCCTTCAACACACTTATGATCGATTTCAAGCTAATAAAACTTGTCATATTGCTTAATATATCATATATATAACCAAAAGTACATACTAATGAAGTGAAACCATTGTGAGTTTAAATTGAGTAAGCAACCACAACATACATGTATCAATAAGCCATATTATTACTAAGACGAAAAGAAATTGTTGAAAATTAGAGTCATAATAAAGTTTATCAAGCTTTAGTAATCAGTGACAGATTACGTAATTTTAATTCATTGATGATCGAGTGTCAATAAACCTGTGAATTAATGACATAACTAAAGACATGTAGAAAACAGCATCTATAGTTTGTCAACTCTCTTCCTGTTTATCAGGGTTTGTATTATTTTGTTATTGATAATGAGAATTGAATTGCTATCAGTTTTTATTGGCCTGTATATATCCTGAATGATATTGTCATTTTGTAATACGTTTAATTGACACAATTCATATAGGCTGGTCACATGCCACTACAGGGACCAATGTTCAAGATCATCTACGAAATTTAAACAACTAGGTTAAAGAAGCTTTGGTTGAAACAATTTGTGGAAAACCAAAACTACAGTAAGTTACTATTTCAAATCAGACTTTTCCGTTCTAAATGATTTATATTCAATCTTTTATTCTTCTATGGTTTTAGCACCTCACTCTTTTCATTTTACAAATTGTAAGTGCTAATTATCATCTTATTCTTTGCCTCCACTTTTGTTAGAAAGTAAACAGTTGTCTTTTGTATTTATTGTATAGGTTATTATTTCTTATTACTTTTGTAACGATTGCATAACTCATTCTCTTGATAATTTTTAATCCCTTTTACTTATTAATGGAACACTCATTTCATCCAATTACTGAAAACATTAGATAGCCTTAACTACTTTGTAATAATACCTTTCTATATATAGACTACTTATTAAAAACAGTACAACACTAATTCATTTTTACAGACTTCTACATTCAATACATGAATACGTTCGACTACCACTGAAAATTTTGTAGCACATCTTTATTTTATTGTAGACTACAGTATGTAGAAACTATTTATAAATAGGATTGTAAAACGTAAGAAAATGATGTCATTTAAGAATGGGATTTTCTGAGCTGAAACGTCTTCATAACATTATTGAATTACGAGACTAATTGTTTATCTAAAGAATTTATGATTGTTGCTGTTAATATTTAATTCTCTATTCTTAACATATTATACTTCTGTTGGTCTTAATTAGGATGAAATAGTTTGTCTAACAATAAAAAGATACAATTAGTGACAATACCTATTTGTAGGTATAGGCAGTATATTATACAAATAATCCAAGAAATTAATAAGTTCAGTTTACATACAATAAATTTTTATTTATCATATTTCTTTTGAAATCAATCTGTAATTGCTTAGTAGGTTCTTTGTAAACTTATTCTATTCAAATGAATAATGTCTAGAGACAACTGTCAGTTGTTATATTACCTATGTAAGTTGTAAATGTAATCGCTTGTAGATTTATGATTGCTGAGATTAAATGTTTATTGACTAAATTTTTAATATTAATCCATGTGATATATTCATTCATGCAATTATCTTCATGGTGATTCTTGTATAAATCAATGTTAAATGATCTATTGATCAAAGTATACTCTTAATGAGTAATAAAACCGGAACAAGTTAATTAAGATTTGACCTTAATATACTAAAATCAAATTCTGAGTATAATCTTGAAAGAAAATAAGTGATTAATGAAAGAGGTAAAAGAATGGCTTTTATTTTCTCCACACAAAATGCTAAGATATATATATTAATAAAGGATACAGAAAATTTGGTAGAAAGTCAAGTGGATGAACAAATTGATTATTCATGGCTCTATACAAAAACAAAGAATAAATAAAAATTAACATTCAAAGATTAATATACTTAAGTAACCTTATAGTGTATGCTACTTATGTCTATTGATATATGTAGTATATAACATCAATCGGGTATGGAAAGCCTAGCAGTAGAAGATTACAAAGATTGAATTGAAGAGTACAGGAATGTAAATAGAAAATGATCTCAATGAAGGAACAATGAAGTTTGAGACAAATGTTGAAAGATTTGCAAATGAAGTATTTAATGTATGTTTTTCACATTTTATGTAATTTTCCATCAAATAATAAATTGGTTATCCCTATCTAATTATCCGTTCACAATAAGCTTACAAATCATTTCAGTTGATTTGTATTTCTCAATCAACAAAACGAATTCAAAATATTATTCTTGTGTAGATGACGTAATATTATAGAAATCACATTGCATACTAAATCACATTTAAAAAATAAATAGACTATGGTTTATTCTAAATAATAATCAACTTCTCTTTACGTTTCTGTCTTTTTTCTCAAATTTTTATTCTTTTCATTTTAATAAAAGCCTATTAAACATATATTCATTTGTCAATGGAAAAAAAAGACGACTGTTTAACTTGAATAAGTTACTCTTATCAATAAAATAATAGAATAGTTTCACTTTGTCACGTAATTATTTACTACAGTATTAATTAAGCTGAAGTGTTTACCTATTCGGAGTTAAAATAAATATTATGTAGACAGAATCTTTATACGGATACATTAAAGTAAGAAACGTTTATTTAAATTTGAAAAAAGAAGAGGGAATTTCTAAATGAATATTTGTCTGATTTACTTATTCATTAAGTTACAGTAATTAATTATTAGATTGTAATGAATACTATGTTGCTATATATACTACATTGTGTATGATGGAATTCTATTCATTAACTGTGTATTTCGGAAATTTATTATGATAGTACGTGATTAGAAACAGTCTACAGGAAGATTTCAGTTTAAATTTTATACTGGTTGGAACTTTTCAACATGAATCATCTTAAGGACTGTAAGAAATAATAATTCCACAATGATTTTGCCTAAATTCTAATTAAATTTTATAAGGGATCTGTCATAGGTTGAATAACTAAATAGTGGAGTCTTTGACTATAAATTATTATGATGACGGGTTGAGCATCTGAGATCACATAACTCCTCTTAGGAAGCGGGAATGTGGATAAACTATGTATGTGCTATTCAAACAGTTCGCTGTCTGAATTGATATTTACTTAGACAAAATGTATTTTATATAATCTAAATCTGAAACACTATTTTTATTAATAAATCTGCAGAACAACAAGCTTTCAGTAACCATGGCATAAAATCAGGATTTGGTTCACAGAAAAAAACTGTTTATTCCTTATTTTCACTATACCATAAGCATATCATTAAGATGACCGTATTTTGTTTTTTCGTATTTGAATATATACCTTTAAAAATCTCTTCAATCCTCTTAGATTTTGTACTGCTGATTATTCGAGGAAGCACTTCATCTTGTTCCTTGGAGACCATTATTTTTAGTCAATAAAATAAAATTTAATTATTTGAACTACATTATTCTATTCACATTACGAGTTATTAGTTTGTCCGTTTTATTCCAGTTCTTAATTTATGAATATCTTGTAGAAGTTATATAAACTTGTGTAGTAGTCATATACATTATATGACTAAATCATATAATCTTTATCATTATGTTTTCACAGTCCTCGTTTCTTAACGTAATCAATTCCTGGAAATATCCATCTTAAAAGCATGCTTTATATGTTCCAATAAGAACCTTAAAATAAACTAAGAACATGACATATAAATTTTGATAATTCACTCAAGACAGTTATCTGGAATGTTCAATTACAAAGATAATATATATATTTTAAACAACTTGAGAAGTTAGAGCAAAATAAATAAAATAACAGTCAGCTGAGTTTCAACAACTAGAATAGAGATTCACTTGATATTGTTTACTTGAATCTTCCCATTGATGTTTAGGACTGCAATTGATCCAGTCTCTTATTGGCATATGTGCATACTGTGCGTATTGCCTCAATGTCGCCTTAATTCATAAGCATTATGAGGAATGATGGATAGTGGCTAGCAATGGAATCCAGAACACACGTTATATCCAGTTGACGAGTCCCAAATAGGACGAAACGAGCATCGTAGATCCAACTGCTAGCCACTATCTATCTTCGCTTATAACTAGAATAGAGATTAGTTTGTTTTTGTTTAATAAGCATAATTAACAATATTATTGATAAAAATAAAAAGTCCTAGTAATCGTGTAAAAACTATGAAGTGAATATCAACTTTTCTATCTACAAATCTATGTTATGAAATGACGTAACAGATTAGAGTATATAATTAAAAAGAGCTATTTAAAATCAGCTCGTTGTTACACCAGTAATGTTGATGAACAGACCTTAAAATACTTGTATTAGATATTTTAATCTATATGAATTTAGTTATTAAACTATCTCCGGATATTAAAAATTGTTGGAAAACGTGTTTAGGCATTTCTTTTTAAAATAAAAATGGATGGTGGCTAGCAGTGGAATCCAGGACGCACATTTCATTTCATTTAGGACTTGTCATCTGGATGTGCCTGTATCACAGAGTTGATGTTTATTCGGGGACATAAACCCAGTGCCGTTTACTTCAAACAACATTGAATAATCATTTTTATGTAGAACTGGACATTTTATTGCAGAAATTGCAATATATAATTTGATGTTGAACCAATTATTTTATAAGTTAGTCATTTATAATTGTTAAACAAGTAATTTAGAGATTCCAAACTAGAAAAATTAAGATTAAGTGATATATCACTGATAGTCAAAAAACATAAACTAATGTTAAAATAGATATGAATAGTAGGCATATTTCCATGAGTTTAGAAGCAGAAGCCTGTAATATTGCTTATTCTACAAATAATATATATATCTATATATATATCGCGCCATGATCTCAACTTTTAAAATTACTACAATCTCCACAAAACTCCTGAAACTAATCAACATATGATCACTAGTGACTGGCTTCAAGAAGCATATCCTAAGAAGCTGTGACCGGTGGAGTTCATCCGGGTCAGTTGTGAGATAAAAACTCACTGATGACAATGGTGGATGTGTCGCTCAATTTCGTCGATTAGTTGAAGTTAGACATTAACATCATTGTATGCTGGCTCAGTGGTCTAGTTGGTTAAGCGCCTGGTGCGAGACTGATAGATCCTGGGTTCGAATCTCGCGGTGGAGGAGACTGTGGATGCGCACTTCTAAGGAGTCCCACAATAGGACAAAACGGCCGTCCAGTGCTTCCAGGTTTTCCGTGGTAGTCTAGCTTCAATTAACTCATGGTCTCAACTATTGAAGTTATTACAATCTCCAGAAAACCCCTTCTGATATATATATATATATATATATATATATGAACGTAATAATGACATTCGTTTACTTACAACTGGATCCTTATTAGTTCTATGAACCATCCAAGTTTCTCTAATGATTAAACTACTTCCAGAACGTTTAGTATGACGAACTGATTGAACTACACGCATTAATGGAATATTTCGTTGTCCACTATAATTCAATTTAAAAATAATAAAATAATAATAAGCATAATTAATGATTGTAAAATTATAAACTCTATTAAAATACATCAATGTTTATGATATTGGAAAATTAATAAATATTTTAGAAAAATTAAGTATTTGAAATGTAAACAATTACTGAACCAAAATCAATCATTATAAAATGATTAATGCTTGCATTGATAAAGAATGAAACAAAAAAAAACCCAAATGTTTATTTATTCTATAACATACTATTCTTATTGGCAAATTTTAATTAAAATGAAGTTTTTTTTGTTTTATTTTCTTTAAAAAAAATCAAAACCAATATCTATTTCAGTGGAATCCAAGACGGGTGTTTCATCCCATTCGAGACTCGTCAGCTGAATGTATCTGCAGCTCAGAGTTGATGTTCACTCGGAGAATCGAACCTAGTACTGTTTAATTAAAACGCTATCCTGATAGCCACTTGCTTATGCAATGGGATGAAATTTAAATTCATGTAGTATTATTTAAGGCTATTAATTAAGGCTATATCGAGGCAATATGCACAGTATGCACATATGCCTAAAAGTGACTGGATCAATTGCAGTCCTAATCATCGATGTGAAGATTCAAGTAAACAATACCAAGTGAATTTAAGTGTCTATTTCATTAACAACATATTTGTGAGCAAATAATTCTATAATACCATCTTTAAATGATAGTACAATGTTCAGAGTAAACTTTCATCGTAACTTGAAACTTATATTGAATTTACCAACCACTTCAGCATTTTCAAATCTATGTCATTATTATGTATATATTTATAGTCGTGTGGTAAATATATGTCTATAGATGGATGGAAAAGATTACATCTTGAATTGATTTGAGCTTCTAGTTGTCGAATGAGGTTGAGTAATAATTAAAAGGGACTAGAGAGGAATACCTATTTACTTATTTACGCCTGTTACCTCTCGTCGAAGAGCATAGGCCGTCTACCAGCGTTCCTCATTCAACCCTATCCTGAACAATCCGTTCCAGTTCTCTCCAGTTTCTATTCATCCTTTCCATGTCTGCATCAAATCCTCGGTGTGGTGTATTCTTTCCACTTCCTCTTTTCCGTTTCCCTTCACGATTCTAGGTAGTAGGCGCTTGCCTTGTGATGTACTTTAAGGATCTCCTCAACGTATATCCTATCCACTTTCAAAATCTTTTCCTAATTTCCTCTTCAGCCGGAAGCTAATTTGTCCTCTCCCACAGTGAGAAGTTGCTGATGGTTTCCAGCAAAAGGACATTGAGTATCTTACGTAGACGATTGTTGATAAATACTTTTACATTTTGATGATGGTTATTTCAGCCCCATACAGTAGAACTGTCTTGACGTTCGTATTGAAGATTCTCACGTTGATATGTTGTTTGTGTAGTCACCAATAATTTTATTATATTCATACAATCCTATTTTGATATTGTATGACTAGTTTCTTTACAATGAACACATGCGTATCAATCTGCCCTACTAATGTTATGCAGAACGGGAGAGAGTAGACAGCCTTGTCTGACTCCGCTACTCACTTTGAATGCACCTGTCAGCTTTCCTCCATGCACCATTTTTCAGTGTAGTCCGTCGGAGGAATTCTCTATGATATTGACGATCTTCTCAGGTACACCATAGTGTCGAGAAAGTTTCCACAATGTTCTCCTATCCACACTGTCAAGCGCCTTCTCATAGTCAATTAAGTTGATGTATAGTGACAAGTTTCACTCAACTGATTGGTCAACGATGATCCTTAGTGTCACGATTTGGCCTGTGCACGACTGATATTTACGGAATCCAGCCTGGTTATCTCGAAGCTGAGTGTCTACTAAGTCTTTCATACAGTTCAGCAATACTATTGAAAACCTTTTCTGATGCTGACAGTAGTGTGATACCACTGTAGTTCTCACACTTGCTGATGTTTCCTTTCTTGATGAGGTGTCCTACTTCCTAGTCCATCGACACTTGTTATTGCTTCAAAGCTTCCTGAATAGAACATGAAGCATTCAAGTAGTTACTTCTACGTCTGACTTCAGAGCTTCAGCCGATATATTGTCAGGTCCTGCCGCATTGTCACTCTTGATTTGTTTGATGACCATCCTGATTTCTTCCGTCGTTTGTGGAGTGACATTGGTAGGAAGGTCTGTTTGTGCTGCTTCGACATCCGGTGTATTCAATGAAGCTGGTCTATCCAAGAGTTTACTGTAAGGCCTGGAATCTGTTGTTGAGAATTATCTTGAATTCGTTGAGTTTGTCAGTTTCTCGTAGGAAAGGTGTATGGAACCTTTGCACTGCTGTTTCCCCAGTTGTCCAGTGTTTCTTTAGCTTTACTTTCATCTTGGCTGCAACCAGGTGGGGATCTGAAGCAACATCAACTCCTCTCCTGGTTCTTATGTCTTCCATTGTCCTTCTGAATTTTTTATTGATGTAAAGATGGTCGATCTGGTTCTGTGTAGTGTGATCCGGTGGAACACATATAACTTTATGTATGTGTTTGTGTGGGAACATTGTTCTACCTATAACCAATTTGTTGAATGCACTTAGGTTTGCAAATCTCTCACCATTTTCGTTTCTTTTTCCCAGTCCACGTCATCCCATGATATATCCCTATCCGGTCTTGTTTATTCCGACTTTGGCGTTTAGGTCTCTCATTAAGATGATGAGATCCTTTCTTGAGCGCCTTGCTATGATTGGTTGCAGCCTCACATGAAACTGATCCTTATTTTCGTCGTTGCTCTCATTGGTTGGTGCATAACACTCGACAATATTCATCATGATTCCCTCCTTCTTTGTTTTGAAGGATGCTTTGATGATCCAAGACCCGTGTGGTTCTCATTCTATGAGTGCATTACGAGCTTCTTTGGATAGCATCAGAGCAACTCCCTGAGTGTGTAGAGCATTTTCTTTTTCGTGATCGGAGTACAGCAGCATATCTTCCGTATCTAGCCTTTGCTGTCCAGCTTGGGTCCAAAGGGTTTCGGTGATTCCGAGAACTGTCACATTATATCTCCTCATTTCTACTGCTATTTGACTGGTTCTCTCAGTCTCAAACATCGTCGGGATGTTTCATGCACCTACATTAATTGTCGCTCTGGCTGTTAGAAGGAGCATCGGTCTCGTAACTTCCGAAGAATTTTGGCTTTCATGGTGAGACGTGATAACTCTCCCTTAACTCGGAGGACAGAGTTTAAGTACTTTAATTTGTTTAATCTGGTTGACGTTTTTTAGCAAGGCTTTTTCTACGGGATGAAGTTGCCGACCCCATACCTTACTCTCCTTTTTCGTGTGGGTTTGGGACCAGCAGTAAATCTAGAAGAGCCACAGGCAGAGTTAGTAGAGAAGAATATAAGGATGAAATTAATTTATAGGTCAGAATTATTAAAGATAATTGTTCAATTGACAGATATGAGGAAAAACGAAAAACATAAAGGTCGTGATAATAAAAAGTGATTACGGTTTAAAATTACAAAACACTAATTTAAAAAATCAAATAATAATAATAACCCAAACCGTACTACAAAAGGGAATCGGGGTCAAGGAAGGATGACAGGCTGGAAGTATCGTTTTAGCATTCAGAGTTTTAAGTTGGTGGATCACCAACGCCTCACCAGTGCATACGTTTTTTGTTCGATCTCCCTTCGATCCGATTCCTTAGATCACTTTATGATACAATATTTTCTATCCTTTTATAGACATATATTCACCACACAACTATAAATACGAATGTACAGCTTGAGCAAATGATTTCATAGAAAAGAAAATCTTCACTGAATTCTCTTTATTTTAATTCAGTGATATAATCGGTTATTTTAGTTGTGTTGTTATCAAATACGTACATTTTATTTGTGATATTTGGTCATACTAGTCGGCAGTATATATTGAAGTGGGTGCAATTAGGTTCAAGCATTCAGTATACTGATTAGTTCAATTACATTGCATCAACACAAATTAAACCCATTTCCTTACAGTTGTTTTGCTTATTGCCACTTATTTTGATTAATTACTGAGTAGTAACTAATGTTATGTTTGTCTAGATCTTAGTGATAATTAAATTCGATCGATCAATTTAAGATGTGATCGATATTCCAAATGACACAATATTGTGCGGTTACGAATAATCGTTGGAAAACGTCAACGCTAGATTCCTTGTCATTTGGAATTCATTAATTAGATATACCAATAATATTGATGAAACTAACGCACATTGTGAGATTTAAATCAACATCACTCATTTGGTTTACTGAAATATAACCACTGAGTTGTTTAAAACGCCACTGACCATCTGTACTCTGTAATTTATCAAGAGAAAACAATTTGTCTAGGTCTAGTGTTTAATTATTGGACAGCGTTAAATCAGTGAAACGGTTAGCTACTATTGAGTTTAATTTAATCTAACCGATGAAACCGAAAAGTTGATATTGATAGTACCTCATGATTGACGTTATTTAGTGGTATACCTAGAAGGTACAAAAAAACAGCTATTCATTTCTTCATAACGTTTAGAGGTTGCCCAGTTAAAGTCAGCCTCTGATGTAAACTATAACCTCAATATTCCTAATAACCTTTTTATACTTATAACAATAATGTTGCTACTAATTTGAAGAATTTTTGTTAATGTCCTAGTGAGAAACTGTGAATAACAGGTTCCAAACATTCCAAGAGTGAAAAAGTCATCCCTATTGACTATGGATGGTGTTCATACAATTACACAAGCAGAATGAAATTGGAAACGTCGGTTACAAGAGGCCAGTCCATTGTACTATGATTGCCACAAAGCCTGAAGATTATGGGTTCTGTCCATACTGAGATAGTAGGTACGTGTTAACAAAGAGTCGCATATTAGTTTGCTTACAATAATTATCTTGTTAGATTGGTTAATGATACAAACACCAGATTGAATAACCTCTAAAAATCTCTTTAATGAATTAAGCATTTTATTAATGATTAGGCAGTAAAACAATCAAATTCTTACCATAACAATGGATTAACCTTTACCAAAGGTCTTTCAATTGAACTCCTTAAATCAGTTGATAAGTTATGTAAATCCATTTGTAAATGAGTTGTTTGATAGACACTTTCACTGCTCTGTGGATCGGTATCAGCTGATTTAACTAAACCATTAAATTTCATATCTGGTTCACATAATTGCTTAATTTGATGTCGTGCACGGAAATGTGCTTTACGTTCTTCAATTGTTGACTGAATAGTTTTTAAATCAGTTGATTGAATTAATTTATTAACAGTGGAAGAATTTGATGAGGATAATAATTTTGATGCTGAAAGTGAAAATTTCAATTAATCAGTATATGGAAGATGTAGACTACTTAAAATTAAGTGTTCAACTAACAAAAAATCCATTTCTGTCAATAAAGAAGAATTGAAAGCAATTCTGTGGAGAGACGTTTGCCCAACGATAAAATTTATTATTTAGGTACTATTACACTTATAGTACTGGGTGCCTCTGAACGTTTTGTTACGTAATCTCTCTTTTCTTTATAGACTAATATATTACACAACTCATCATCTGTACGATTGTGTAGATTTAGTAAATGATATCATTGGGAAATGAATTTCATTCACTTCTTAAAGGTTATTTTTTAGAGTATAAATTTAACTTCAGATTCTATTATATTGTTCTCTCACTTGTTCTATATGTATATATGCTGAATCCTTCTGTTTTTAATGGTTAATTTAAGGAACATCGAAATGTCTGAACTAATATTAGATCAACTACCAATCACTTTGCAATTATTTACTCGTTTTCATACAGTTCCTTTTCTATATCTTGGCCATATATATCTTTATGTTTTGACAAACCACGGTGGAGGTTTAATTTATTTATTAATATTATTATTCTATGTATTAATTAAACTTAGTCATGTAAACCATTTTATGACAGCTCCATAGTCCTGGTGGGATCACAGACGGCCATTTAGAGTGTCTCATAGTGGAGAAGATTTGTAGCTCAGGTGGATGATTTTGATGGAGTTTTGTTCTCTGAGTTGGATGGTTTGGTCGTGGAGCTTTCATCGTTCTTCTGAACGACATCATCAGCACAAACTTCAGATAGAAGTGAAGTGTTCGAATTTCTCCATATGCGTTTGACAGCTTGTTCTGTGCACCTCAATGTTGATTGGTTCTTATTGACCTTAAATTTGTCATTGTTTACTTTTTTGTCTTGGTTTTGTCTCCTATTGGTTTGATTCTTGTTTCTATATTTGTGCATAAGTTTCTTGATTGGTTGATAAATCGGATCGATTTCAATGTGTTTGTTGATTGCTGATTGCCCTGAGTGCCAGGCTTCTAAAAATTCTCTTGTGTATTTAGAATTTCCTCTGTCCACGATTTCCACATTTTTCCAATCGAATGTGTGTCCGCAGTTGTCCACATGTATTGATATAAGTGAGGAGATATCATGCCGTTTGATTGCTAATTGATGTTCATGTAGGCGCAGGTGAAGGGGGCGTCCGCTTTGTCCGATGTAGTGTTTGTCGCAGTTGACACAATTTATTTTGTAGTTGATGTTCGACTTATCTTCTTTTGTTAGTTCATCCTTTGGTTTGCATAGGATTGACTGTAGTGTGGCACACAAACCGACAAAATCACTGCGACAAACACTACATCGGACAAAGCGGACGCCCCCTTCACCTGCGCCTACATGAACATCAATTAGCAATCAAACGGCATGATATCTCCTCACTTATATCAATACATGTGGACAACTGCGGACACACATTCGATTGGAAAAATGTGGAAATCGTGGACAGAGGAAATTCTAAATACACAAGAGAATTTTTAGAAGCCTGGCACTCAGGGCAATCAGCAATCAACAAACACATTGAAATCGATCCGATTTATCAACCAATCAAGAAACTTATGCACAAATATAGAAACAAGAATCAAACCAATAGGAGACAAAACCAAGACAAAAAAGTAAACAATGACAAATTTAAGGTCAATAAGAACCAATCAACATTGAGGTGCACAGAACAAGCTGTCAAACGCATATGGAGAAATTCGAACACTTCACTTCTATCTGAAGTTTGTGCTGATGATGTCGTTCAGAAGAACGATGAAAGCTCCACGACCAAACCATCCAACTCAGAGAACAAAACTCCATCAAAAAGAGTGTCTCATAGTAGAACAAAATAACTATCCAGTACTTTGTAGTATTCAATGGCGATAGGATTGAAATGAGCTAATGATGTGAACTATGAAAAAATGAATTTTTTAAATTATCTTACTAAGCTCTACAAAATGCGGTTGAATTTCTGTCAGTTCATTTTTTGATGGTGAACATAGATTTTCTTCAGTTACTTGTCTTTGTGTTGTATGTAAAAATCTGTTGTGTTTTTGATCGATTGACGGTGTTTCCAGTTGTTGTTGTTGTTCATTTGTAGTTTGAGAATTAATAGCACTAACTGTCTGTCCACGAAGAAATAAACGTTTTTTAAATTTACTTGGTCCACTTGATGACGATGATGTGGATGATAATGGTGATGATAATGTCGTTGGATCTTGTACTCCTAACAATGTTGTTATTGATAGTGCGGAGGGATTTCTTGACTGTGTATCTATAGCAAAAGATAAGGAGTTGTGCAGCTAAGAAACAATGTTGTAATTAATAACATTTTTGTGATGTTTTTTATCTCTTTTCCTTAAAAAGATCACAATTTATTATGAAAGTATGTTTAATATATCTTTTGATACAGAACCTTAGTTTTCTTTTTCATCGACATTTACTTCAATTATGAAACAGTTACATTAAACAAAGATGGATAGTGGCTAGTAGTGGAATCCAGGACGCGCGTTTCGTCCTATTTGAGACTCGTCAGCTGGATATACCTGCATCTCAGAGTTGGTGTTCACTTTGGAACTCGAAAGCGCGTCCTGGATTCCACTGCTATCCACTATTCATCTTTGCGTATAATGTTTGTAAATTAAGGCAATATTACGAAAATACGCATAGTATTCGCATATGCCAATAAGAGACTGATCAATTGCAGTCCTATACACCAATGGGAAGATTCAAGTAAAACAATATCAAGTAAATTAAACTTCACCCGATTGCACAAGCAAGTGGCTATCAGGACTCAGTAGCTAAGTGGATAACGCGATGGCGTTTGAAGCGGACGGTACTGGGTTCGAGTCCCAGAGTGAACATCAACTCTGAGATGCAGGTACATTCAGCTGACGAATCCCAAATAGGACGAAACGCGTGTCCTGGATTCCACTGCTAGCCACTATCCATCATTCCTTATAATGTTTGTAAATTAAGGCAATATCGAGGCAATACGCCCAGTATGCACATATACCAGTAAGAGACTGATCAATCGCAGTCCTTAATATCAATGGGAAGTTTCAAGTAACACAATATCAAGTAAATCAGTTACACTAAGTTTATTCATTGAGTCATTTTGTTAACTAGAAACACCAATGAAATTTGAAAATTGATCTAGGTAATTCATTAGAATAATTGCTAAATTCAGATATTGTAAACTAATGTTAGTTGATGTTATAACTTGTGGCGTAGTGCCTCTATCAATATGTGACGTAATGATACCGCCAATTAGAGAACAGTGAATTATCGACCGGACCAATGACGCGTAAACCTGTACAAGCAGTCTAGAGTCTTTATCGGTCCTTCTTCCTGCCTAGCCTCGTCTGTTAAGTCCAGAACATCAATCTCAACCTCTGCGATATGAATCATGTATTTCAAACATGCTGGGCTTATATACAAACCAAACAGACCACATCGCACCACAAATTAGAAAACAACATTTGTACAAGATTTAACTAAAAGTGGCTATGAATGTGGGAGACTGTAATGAATAAATTGGGCATAACTCAAGAACAGTAAATATTATGATATTATTCTACGAGTCAAAATAAAGTTTATAATATGGGGAACATAAATATGCATAGTTTAGTTACTTAACAGTTATGCAATTAAACTATATGTAAAGTATTAGTCCACAAATGGATCCCAACAGTTAGCATTCATTATTCTTGTCAAGATATATCAATTGAAAGGTTTATAAAATGCTACTCAAGTGATTTACTATTTCTCAAGAGTTATATTATTAACATAAGATGAATAACATCATATATAACATACAGCTTTAATATCCTATGGCTTGTTGCAAAACTTTAAAAACAAAGTACTCAACGACAGCATTGTGATCATTGAACACTTATAAATAACTATTGTTTGATTGGTGTAGTTTTTTTCCGACTTTATAAAACTTACGTTTTTTACATTATTATTGTAAAGATAGTTCTGGCTTTGTTGAAGGAATAAATAATGATTTCTTTTATTTAAATTTATCTGTTAGACAACGTGCATCTACAATTGTTGTATTGTGTGGTTGTGTAATACATTTTGACTAGACATAATCTGTTTGATTTATCTTAATCTTACAATATTTGAAACAATCACTGAATGACTGAGACAATAAGTAAATTCAAACATGAAACTTTTCTAAATTGATCTAAAATTACAAGTATAAATTTAGAACTACGCATGACTTTGTATTAAATTTATTGATCATTTATTCTTAACTAATATCCTTTTTCAATAATTGAAATCATGAGTCAATTGAAGCTAGATCACCATGGAATACTTGGAAGCACTTGACGGCCGTTTCGTCCTAGTATGGGACTCTTCAGCAGTGTGCATCCACGATCCCGCCCTCCGCGGGATTCGAAACACAAGCGCTTAACCATTAATCACTGAGCCGGCCGACATCCAACAGTGTTAATGTCTAACTTCAACTAATCCACGAAATTGCTCCAAAACATTATCTTTTTTTTGTTATATTCTAATGAGTAGAAGAATTGTATTTCTGATACTTCTTGACTTCATATTGAAGAAGCGGCTTACATTAAGTCACGAAATATCAAGAATACAATTTTTCTACTGATTAGGATGTAACAAAAAAACAATTTGAAGCAAGTATTTTTTTCAAATACTACAGATAATATAATTAGTTAAAATCAATGCTTCGATTGACTTATGATTTCAACTATTGAAATTACTAAAATCTTCATCTTTGTTTTTAACACTATATTCTGATAGATTTCTGTCAATAAATTTGCGATGTTTGGGACTAGTCGAAATGTCTTAACTCTGCATACTTGATATTAGGTGACTGAGAATAGTCAGCAAGAAATCCTCAACTTTGGTTTCATCTTAGTTGACACTCATGAGCAAGGCGTATATGTAACCTTGAAAAATCTGATACTCCCATAAGAAATTAGACATGCGTTTAATGATCAAATTCCATGAATCTCGTTTAAATATGACCATCAATAATTTATTAAAAAAAAGAGACTGCATTAAGAAGGTAATCATAGCAACCATTTGAAAAATGAAATGAGTAGTGTACAATAAATAACCATTTAGAGTAAAGCAAATCATGAATGAATCAGCAGTAATATGATGAATTTGAGCTCTTATACCATAATGTAAAGGAAAGTATAAAAATTCTATTGAAGATCATTCAAGGTAATGTAATTATTAGTTTGTTTCTTTCTTTTTTTGTTGAATAAAAGTAATAAACACTTATAATGGTAGCCCAGTAAAAAGAATGCAAACGTCTTATACAATAAACAAAATCACATGGTCTTTGTTAAGTATTAAATTAGGGAACATATCAAAAGTAAATTTCTTAAATGTTCCAAATATATATAATCCGTTTATTCATAATGTGGAATAATCTATAAACTTATGATGATGATGATGATTTATCTCTTGGCATTATTATGACCTGTATATTCATTGTTGATAGTAAAAATATATTATTGTATATATTCACTATTGTTAATATTCAGATCAATCTTTAATAGATCATTTAGCTTTTAATTATTTATCGGTGACCTAAAAGATATATAGTATAAGGAAATCTGATAAAGTATATTTATATAGGTTTATTGATTAATTTTTTAGACTTATACGGTATATGGGATAGGTCTCTTCAAACGTGTTATACATAGTTGACTGTGAATATACCTATAGAAACTTGTTATCATAAATCGAAATTGGTTGAAAAACCATTAGAATATTTTAAAAAATTGTGAAAAGTTTGTTTTTTCCTGTATTAGAGCTTTTCAACATTGACTGACTTTCAAACCGCATGATCATTGATTATTGTGTAAGTACCTTACTCACTGATTCAAATGAAAGTCCTAAGTTCAATTACTTTCAAATTTAAGAGGTATAATGAAAACTTTTAAGGTAGAATGAAACAAATTTGTTCTTTTATGATTTTTCTTGCTGATATCAATACACTGGAAAAACCATCTTTGAATTGAAGATATATCTCTACAAACCACCAGTATAAATATTATAATCCCCATTGACTGCACTGATATGAGTTTTTAAGTAACATAAAGTTTAGATAAAGCATACACTTGCTCTCTCTGATATAAACACACTATGTAATACTTTCGTTAAGAGATTGAAAAATGAATACATACTAGGTCCATGAATATTTATTTAACTATTATGTTTATGATAACAACTGTTCCACAATTCTGAGACAATTCGTTTTATACACATAGTTTCCTTTATCATTTTGAAAAGAGCAAGAACAAACATTCTAGCAGAATAGCATGAATTCATTTTATTTCGTAGGTTCTCGTCAGCTGCTTATAACTTGTGATATTTAAAATCATTATTACATAGTGGGTTTAAAGTACTTACATGAGAGGGTTTGTTGAAAGTTATATTGAAGACATATTAGTATGGCTAGGGTGTAAATAAATTTAATAGACTGAATATTGTAAACATATACCTTATGTGAAAGAACATTCTACAACATTGATTGTGACAACTGTTCAAACGGCTAGAAACAAGTGATTATATAATGAGTAAACATTGATAGGAATAAAATGAATAGAGCTCAGTTGATAAAATAAGATTATCAATGTGGAAGATAGTTGAAATAAAACTTAACGATGTAATAAATACAGGAGAGAGTTTAAAGAAAAAGAAAAAAATTAAAGATGCAGCGTAGGTATATTTGTCACCAAGGCAAGGAAAGATTAATAACCATCTCCTTTTGAACACATAAGTCAGGTTTTTAACGCATGATAGCAACGGCTTTCGCAAACTTCAGAAGACTGGTATTTGGCTACTTTTCAGTCTTTTGATGGTAACTTTATGATGTTTTTCTAAATCATTAAAATCACAGAAAAATCTACTTGTCAAAACACCGAAACCTGATCATTTATGCTTTTTCTATCCAAAAATAGGATATTTTATTTTTACTGTCAAATGATGTTAGGCTAATTAATATTTAACCTCATTTAGCCTCAACGGTTTAATCTACTCAAAATGAAATAAAAACTTAAACATTTTTATTTCGGTCAAGATCTAGCTTATGCTATTTTGATTTTTTTATGATACCAAAATAGATGATAAAATAGATGACAAAATGAGAAGAAAGTACACATCTTTGTAAATACTCTAGGTACTTTAAGGTTTCCAAACTTCATCTTCATTTAGACATTATGTTTTAATGGAATTTCTTCATAAGTATACTTGAGGACCGCATAAAATGAGATCTCGTCA